TGAAACATCAGTATGCCGGAAGTTGGGATAGACCTTGTTGAGAAAGGCATTAGGAGATATAACTGCTTTAAACCAGTTTTAAGTTGCCTAAGAAAGGTAAAGGTCATAATCCTGAAGATAAAGAAAGAATTACTTACCTCTTTCTGATGATCAGGGCTCAACTAAATACTCCAGAGGAGAGGATCTGTAAGTAGAGATCCTTCCCATGTGGTGGCCAGCTCTTGAATGATGTCTTGGGAACTTCCACCTGTGCTCCCAGGCCTGGCTGCTCCCTTTCACCAGGGGTTCAATCACGGCTTCAGGCTGTGACTTAATGTTCCCACACACATCTAAATTAACTCTCTCCGTGTATTTGATCATATTGCTTTTAATGCCCTTGAACACAGGGAAGCCAGAACAATAAAGCTGGTCTAAATTCCATACAATGGTTTGTAACTAAATTGTTTCAAAATTTTCTTAAAATCCTGCTTGTGATAGCAACAGAGTCAGTGTAGGAGTTAATACAACATCTAAATATTTCTTGAACACCAAATTATATCTATCACATCCTATGACACAGATGATCCTGCAACTGGGCAGTCGTGGGCTTGCACATGGCCAAGCCAACTATCGCCTTGTCTATCTCCCACTCCTGATCTAGAAGCAGAATCTTGCATCTGTGTTGTCATCACTTACAATCTTCTGTAGCACCAGCAGCTTGTAAGCAAGAGAGATGTATTTCCCTATTGCTTTTCACTGGCTGATGGAGATGAATCTGACCAGGCGACTTCTTGCTGCTGCTGCTGGTAGAGTGAAGTAGTCTTACCAACTTGCACCAGCTTCTGTGGTCACAGAAAATATATGGCATTTTTGAGAACATGTCAATGCTTATGAAACAAATATTTCAATTTATGTTTTGCAGAAAAAATGGACTTTAAAAACACATTTTCATTTTTGAATAGGAACTATACCAGATAGCAGCATTCCACTGCAGAGCAGAAATGCTAAGTCACCACCTGAAGCGATGATGGAGCACATGGTGGGAAGCCAGGGCCAGCCCAGGGGAGTTCAGGTGCATGCAATGTACTGAGTGATGGAAGGGATAGAGTCAGAATCCACCCCTTGCTAGCCTTCATTTAAGGTTTGGCAGTGAAGGTGAGGGTGTCTTGCTGGAAATCTCTGCCTACTTGAGGCCTTCCACAGGTAAGCAGCTTTTTTCCTTCATTTCTGTGTTTGGGCTGCTGTGTTTGGGCTTGTTCTTGTTTACTGCAGCCAAAGGCTTTGCCACTTCACTGTTACTGCTATACTCTCTGTCATATTATAGCTTTATGCACCACCACAGATATTACAGACTTTGACCAACTATTGAGAAAGGGATGATCCAGCCTGTACTAAGTAGGTGTCATCATTTTTCAGCCCTCTCCCACCTTAATTATCTGAAAAATAACATTCAAGTACAGAGGTCAGCAGGAAGGGGGAAATCTGCTTGCGCTTGCCAGCGGGATCGATACTGTAGACCTTACATGGGTTTGGAATGAGGGGCATTAGACTCACAACTTTCCTAGTGCCAAGAAATGCGCAGCTAAAATTGGCAGCTCAGAGATGTGTAATACACAAACAGGGTCTGGAGTGTTGCAAGCGTTCAAGCGCTTTCAAGTATGTTGGGTAAACGACTAGCTGTTTCCATGGTAAAAAAAAAAAAACAAAACAAAAAACTAACAGAGATTCTGCTGTGTCCATCCAAGGATTCTCTAATTCAAGTGCCTGGTTAATGTGAGCAGAGCTGACTTCCAGCAAAAGCGCTCCCTGGCTCTGATGCTGTGGGGCACAGCAAAGTGTTCTCTTCATCTGAAAACAATACTCTGGAGATGCTGTGCAATGCTATCTGGCACCCTGGAGATCTCCACACAGGATCACCAGCAGCTGCCTGCAAGCAGCAATGGTTCTGGGGGGCAAAGAGGCTGTGGCTGCTCCAGAGAGCTCCTGTGTGGGACAAAGTCCTTGCATTGTTTTGTCCGTGTAGCAAGAGGGGAGGCAGGCACTGGAGCTGCCTGTCCCATAAAGAGTAAGGGAGCAAAAGGTGGATCTGGCTGGTGCAACACTGTGCTTCAGATTTGTTTCAGGAGTGGCCTGAAAGTATTTATGTGCCTGTTAGTAAATAATTGGCCCACTGTATAGTTAAAGGAAAAGGTGAGCTCATTTTCTCCTACTGTGGGACTTGTGAAAGTTTTTACATTGCATTTCAAATTACTTCTCCCCATGTGAAGGCAGAGGACTGACAGACAGTGTCACCTCAGTTCCCTTTCTTCATATGTTGGTTTGAAATTTTTTTAATATTAAAAATACATCTGTCTGATTCCCTTTTTGTGACTTGAGCTTACCAGCTGATGTTGGTATGTTTGCTTCTCTGTTGCTTTGGTCACATTTTTGGTGTGTGGACTGGCCATCCCTCTGCTGTTTTCGTTGTTTTTTACATGGCACTGAAAGAACCTGGATTGCTAGGAAACTTTTCTTGTCTAGTAGTTTCTTAAAGAAATGTTGTTTACATTGGGTAGGCCTTGTGAAACAAAGCTGCTTGAAATGGAATACATAGCTATGCTCTCCCCAACAGAAGAAGAAAAGTAAGCAACAATTCTACCACACGTGGTTACTGGAATGAGAGGCAGAAAAGGTTATTATTTCTCTGCTCTTCCTCTGGAGAAAGGCAATGGCAAGGTTTTTTGGAGGGCAATGCTGGCAACATTCAGATACAATCTGAAACCATTCCTGATGATCAAAAGAAGAAATCCACATGGACTTCATCATCTGTGTAGTAAATCCTGACTCTGATGTATCTTGTGAAACTTATTCTGGGGAAAACGTCTTCCTACATTCATATCATGCATGTAGCTGGTACCCCTTACCTCTGTACACTGCAGAGATTAGTAGGTGGCCAAAGTGATTGCTTTATGTACAGTGAGGTCAGTAGGTGCATATGATCCTTTGTAACAGAAGACTGTGTCACTTGCATGGTTATATTACAACACCATTGAAGATGTTACAACGATGCCCCTGGCCCCAGGAGGCATTAGATCTCCCTGCAGGCCTACTTTATTTATTCAAGTGACCTTTGCAGCTGACAGCTACTCGGGTGTTTCCACCAAGAAACCACACCCTAAGATATTGCTTGACTGACTCTGCTGTGCTATGTTTTGTAGGAACATTTCATCCTATTAAGGCACCTAGGAAAGGCAGAACTTCCTTTTCAGTACAAACTCTCTTTTTTTAGAAAACAAATGTTTTTGAGATGATGTTATTTTTATTTAGTTCTCTCTGTGAAACTTCCAAAGAAAGAACTTTTCTTGGCAAGTTCATACCGGGAAATGAGGGAGAAACTAATGTCCCTCTGTCTACTTATATACTCATACACAAATAAATTACTTAGAGAGCACTGCTGATGTTGCAAAGCTGAGCATTCATATGTTAGGAAACGATCTGAATAAGTTGCTCTTGTAACCCAAAGTTGGAGTGGGGTACATGACCATACATGTTTTTCACAAGTGCATCTGTGTTTTGGAAGGCTCAGACAGACCAGGTCAGGCATTAATCAGTTTGTGCTGCAGAAAGCTCTTGCCTGTGGAATTCTTTGGTCTTTTGTCACAGAAGTCAAGAAGTGTCTTATAAATGGATGGGGCATGAGTAAGTGTGTCCGTTCTCTGGCAGCTGTACTCTGCCTCTGCCACAGATTTCCATTCTGAACTGTAGTGAATAAATTCCACTGACTTCTGAAGTGATCACTAGTGACCTGCTCTTAATTTTTGAGATTCCTCACATTAACACTAGGAGGCAAATTTATAGATGTGCTGAGCCCTCGTGGCTGTAGCAAAAAATGAGCAGGGAGTGTGCTTCTGGTGTGCTGAACGCTGGGCACCCAGCTGCACTGCAGTCATTTTGGTCTCAGCCTTTCCATCAGCAAGAGGAGGGTAATACCTTCCTCTAACATTGCAAGAATGAAATGACATGTAGCGTAGTTAATGTAAGGTAGTACACTCTAATAGTGTGAAGTAAGAGATAGCACTACTGAAATAACTATTTCTGCATTCAGCACAGTTTGAAAAATATGTAATTAATGAACAGCTTTTCTCCATAGGACATCTTTTCAATCAGCAATCCAGTTTCTTTTATGTTTAAGACATTTCATATTTGTGTATGTTCAGAAATCAAAAGATCAGTAATTCTCAGAATTCTCTTAACCTCCTAATACTTAAAGCTTCTACACAGACAAATGCTGAATTTAGATTTGAGCCAGGGAACAGATTTTTCCCATGCTTACAAAGTATGAGCCGCTGAGGTAAGTATTTGTCTCCCAGGCTAAAATCTGGCATCTTTCTCCAGCAAAAAAAAAAAAAAGACAAAAGCAAAAAAAAACCCTGTTTCTCAAGTAAAGTGAGACCCTTAGCCTTCATATGTATCTGTGACTTTTCATGATAACCATCCATGTCAACAAGTCTCATCTTTACAGTCTCCTTGCTGTGGTAGAAGACTGTGGATAGTGCTTTTGAGAAAAATACAAGTGTCTTGAGGTTACAGGGGGAGGGTCACATCAACGTCTGATTGCTGAATCTGTATATCATGGAAAGTGAAGAAATGAGGAAATCTACTAAGTAACGTCATCCGTTCCTTTAGCCCACAAAATATGGCTCCCCATAGCATTGAATGCTCTCCATAGCTTTGTTCAGTCCAGTTTTAAATGAGATTTCCATTCCTTCTCACAGTCTGCTAGGTATGAGCGTTACGTTTTCCTGATCCTCAGCCACGCTTTTTTCCTTTGCCTAATTTCATGTCATTACTTTGAATGTTGGCTGTGAAAACTAGAAGTATTTCAAGTTAGGAAAGTTTGAAGTGTCCCACATGTATATGAGAGCTGACAAGTATTTTAGTAAAGAAGCAAAGTGTTTCAGATCATGGCTTGCAGTATTAGGGTTTTATAAGTGTTGGCCAGAAAAAAGAGTGTAGTCATGGAGTACAGCGAGCAGATCTGCTTCCAAGATGGCCAAACTAACTGCGACTTATTTTTCTCTTGCAGAAGATGAAGCCCATCGTCCAGAGAAGGCGATCTACACCTTCTGCTATTACTAAAGCTCTTGGCAAGTCGAAACACCATTCCAGGTAGGGAAAATACCTCTCTGATTCCTTTTTCCACTTTTCTGCATAGGCAGGCTGAAACCAAGCTGTCTATCAAATTCATTTAGCTGTGTCAAGGACAGCTTGTTTATGGATAGATCTGAAAAATCTTTGTGTATGTGCACGTGTCATCTACACTAGCAAACAGTGGAAAAAAACATTATTCCCCACTCTCTTGCTGGACTGCAAGAGAGCTAAGCTTCCTGTGCCATTCTGGCTGAGCTCAGCAAACTATTTAGCTGCCAGATGCATCGCTGTTTAGTCTGCATCTAACCCACAGCAGGCATTGGTATGAGGAGTTGAACAGAGGTGCCCTAAGAAATTAAACAACTGATGTCACAGGCAAGCAGAAGATGCCCAATGCAGAGCAGTACGTGAGGGCCTTCCCTGTCCAGTGGTGCATGGCTGTGGGTGAGAAGCACAACTGAGAGGTGTTGGAAGGAGAGCTTCAATGTGGAGGTGTCCTGTATGGGCCTGACTGTGTTCTGTGAACTTACACTCATTTGGCAAAGAACACAGTTGTATTAATCCCCTCAGCCCAGACTGCAGTGAGAGTCTGTGGTTTGGTTTAAATTAATGGGGGAAAGAACTGTAAATGGTCCATTACTGAGCAAGTCTGGAAGGAGATGCTCCAGGGAGAGGAAGGCTGCACCAGCCTTGTCGGGAGATCAGGCAGCCATGGGGAAAGAGTCTTCTGGGCAGGTGGTGTGGGAAGACAGTGTCTCAGGGAGGCGCAACAGGACACGTGCTGCCATGGTGCTTGCTGTCTTGCGTATCAGTACTGGCAGATCCATCTTGTGAGCATCCTGTCATTCTGCCGCGTACATTCCTGCTCAGCCACCATCTGGGGACTCCACAGGAGACCTCGCTCCCCTGCTCTGCATGCTGGACTGCCATTGGAAGGGCTGGATTTAAGATTAGTGTTGATTCACCTGGGAGTGGGAGGGGGCTGGGAGCTGCATTTGGGGGGAAGCTGAGTATCTCTTCCACATACACACTTGCAGACAAGGTGCATGTTTTTGTCTTTGTAGACAAGAGGATCTTTATTTCTTTCTATCTCCATAAAAATCTAGGACTATTTCTGAGAGGTTAACAAGCTCAGATGTGCTCATGTACCCGATCCTAGTCTATTAACAAGACTCAGCAAGTGACTATTGCTTGTTTGTTGAGCACAATCCCACTTGTACAGTGAGGGTAGACCCAGGACCATGTGGGACCTGTTTTATTGCCAAAGCTGCCAATGACAACCAGAGAGCAGAGCACAGCTTGGCAGGACTGTACCCCCTGGCTGTGCTCTGGAAAGTGCTGAGATGTGAGCAAGGAGATAAGCACACTGTGGAGTTTTTTTCACCTGTGGAGAGCATAGGAAAAGGATCTGGTTCAATCTCAATGACTGCTTGCTGACTGCAATCAACATGCAGCAACTACTGTTGTGTTGTTGGGATGTTTGGGGGTTTTGTGGGGGGGAGGGAAATGGTCAGCATCTAAATCAATTGCAGAAGAAATGAAGTGTCGGGTTTCAGCTATGTAAACCAGAATCAGATGGCTGGAAATAGCTGAGTGCATGCAGTTCATTTTCTTTGTGCTACAGCCCTTGCACTGACAAGCAGTTCAGTACAGATGGGAAACATGGACTGAAATGAAAAAGGAAGTCTCCATTCACGTTCCCTCCCCATGCCAGGCTGAGCAGTGCTGAGAGCCAGGGACTGCCTTGGGTTTTCCATGTTGACTTCCAGTCACAGCTCACATGCATTTGCAGGAAATAAGTTTTTTGCATGAGAAATGACTCAAAGAATATGTGAACAGCTTGACCGGTCCAGATTTGGTGTAGACACTTAGGCAGTTTTCCATCTGTTTGAGGCTGGTAAAATTAATTGGGCAGGGGCAGGCAAGTGCAGTCCCTAACCGAAAGAATTAGAGGCAGTGATGGGAGGAGTGATGGGCTAACACTTTGTTCCAAAATAGTTACCAGTTCATTGCAAAACCTTGTGAGAAAAGCTGCTGATAAAGCAATGATTTCTTTTTTTCCTTCTCCAGGGAAACTACTCTCTCTTCTTCCCATTCAGACAATGGGCTGCCAAGCGGGATCTTTAGCAACCCAGGTTCCACTTTCATCCTGGATGAGCGAGTACAGCTAACCGTGGGCCTGCAGACTCAGGACAGACATTTGATCTTGTTCAGTGATATGCTGATCATCGCCAAGTCCAAGTAAGAGAAATTTGCACTTGCTCATTCTTGCTGGTGTGTGCTGTTGAAGCTAAGTCCTGCGCTATTTTTGGAGTAGGCATCAGAATATCTCTTCTTTACAAATATGGATCTAAAATGTTGGATTTCCTCCTTTCACGTTGAGGAATTCCTCCTAGTATTAATGTTTCACTCCATTTTCCTGAGAAATTTCTTGGAGAAATTGCATAAGAGCAGGGGGTAGTAAGCATAGAAATTTGATTCTTGATCTCACTGTTTCTGTCACAGTTTCATGTAATGTATATGTGAAGAGTGTGAAGAGCTTAGGTGACTTCAATCATTAGAAAAACAGTATAGATTATAATTAGCTCAAATCATCACCTGCCTGTAGCTCTAGTGAATCATATTGCCCCAAACCATAGTTGTCAGACTAGAGCCACCAACCACAGAATTCACTTGCAAAACATTTGGGTTTGTCTGGGTATCAGACAATTTCAATCCTCCAACATCTTGGAGGCTTGTTAATGTTGCTAACTGTAAGGTGGCATGGCCAAACACTGGGGCCTAGATATTAGAATATGACCTGAGAAATTCATAATTTGAATTGCAGATCTTCCTCCAGCCTGAAGTTCAAAAAGCAAGTGCATCTGAGTGAAGTGTGGACTGGCACCTGTCTCAGTGAAGTAACAGAGAAGAAGATGAGCCCTGAGAATTCGTTTGTTATCGGCTGGCCTACCATCAACTATGTCATCACCTTCAGGTATTCCATCAGACCTCTCTTTTCAACCAGGCAACTGCCCAAGTTTTCCATGGATTAAGTGAAACAATGACTGAGAGTGCAGAGCCCTGAACTCTACCACAAAAATCTCCATCCCCATTGAGTGAAGGATTCACATTAGGCAGTGAGGTAGTAGTTTAAATACTGGAAGACAGCTGTCTTAAGAAAGTATCTGCAGGCTGGTCTCTGAGAGCCTTTTAAACTAGAGAACGAAGCCTTGGAATTGTTGTTATAACAAGGATTGGCCCCACTGCAGAATATCCTGGAGTGCTACATCCAGATCAGCCATAGCAAGCAAGCTTGTGCCATTGTATATCCTACAAGAATGTTGTTTCAGTACCTACCAGCAGCTGTTTCTGAAGGAGATGCTTGTTTAAGATTTTTTTTTTCCTTACAAAGGATAGTTCAGTTACATTACTGAAAGATTATAGATGGCCTCTTGCCAGGATTAAATTCCTTTACCACTAGTGTAGAGCAGACTGGAACACAGCCAGATCATGTCCAAACACTGTGTCAAAGACACCTGAACTCGTAAGGCTTGCCGAGAGGCAGGTGACCTTTTTGTTAGCCTGAGCATGGTCTGGGCTGGCAGAATTATGGCTAGAACTGGTATATCCACACTGAGCTTAGGTTGCTGCTAGTTCATGCTCATTTGTGAAGCAGAGAGGCCAGCAGTTTTCAAGGGTCATTCTGACTACAGGATTTCTCTTGACTTTCTCAGCTAGGAACAGCTGATCTAACCTGCTTTTTTTTCCATTGGTTCAGCTGTTCTAGTGGAAAAAGAAATTAGAAACAAACTCTAGTTTTGCACTTACTGCCTCATCATGTGCGGGAGTCAGGGTGGTGTCTCCCAGGTGATGGGTTCCTGGCCTTAGGACTCATGCTTTGATATGCAAGCAGTTGCTTGTCTTTTAGTTCAAACTCAAAACCAGTTCAATTTCCTTCATGCTACTGAGACCTGGACAACCCATGTTGGCAGTAGAACCTTATAGGAAGAACAGACATCGGAAAGAAAGTAGTAGTAGAAAGAAAATAGTAATTAAAGATCTCTGGAAAAAATAATAAAGGCCCACAAGATATGTTCACTCCGGCATCACAGAAAGACATTTGTTCCTTATCTGAGCGTATGCCACCCTGGGCAGGAAATATAGTTCAGTTTGTTTTGGGCATCTTTCTGTCATTGTTGTTGAAGTAGGACAGAAGCAGGAAAGGACTGTGCTTTTGTTCCAAGACTTTGCAGGAAGGAACTTTGACTTACAGCTATATATAGGTGAAACTGAATAAAATTTCCAAAGGTTGTTAACTACTCAGCACTTGTTTGATGATCTGCCTCCTTTTTATCTTCAGCTCAGCTGACGTGAAGAAACAATGGCTGTCTGCATTACTGTGGTAAGTGACCCTTCTTTCATTCTTTATCCAAGTGATTCCTCTACAGTCCTTAGAGGAAATCTGTTATGATATCAAATTGCCCTCTCCATTTTCATCGCAGTAATTGTGTAGCTGCTATTTGAAATGTCTGCCTTTGAAACCTGAATGTAGAATTCCATTTTTGAAGCAAAACTAGTGTTGATAGAAAAGCAGAACAGTGTTAGAAGATGTTGTTGGAGCATCTTTATTCCTTTGGAGATGGAGATTGACTTTCCTAATCATGGTGGAAATGTCAGAAGTGGTATTGATTCTCTGTTTGTATTTCAAGGCATCCAGAGGTTCCAGTTAGTTCTTTGTTTTTGTATGTTGTTTCCATTAATATCCAGGTATAGAGAGGGGGAGATGTTACCTCCTGATTTTGTGGAATGCAGTAACGATCCAAAAATGATGGAAGGAGTCTTCCATCAAGTGTACCTTGCACTGCAGTACTGCCATATGGGATTTTGCTTGTCTAGGGCCTCAGAGAAAGATAAAGAAGCCAGTTAGAGCACATGATCACTCTGTTATTACTGTTGTAATTAATCTGTATATATTACGGTGCTGAGGAGCTGGTCCCTTACACCTCTTGTATCCAAACCTTAGGGCTCTTCCTTTTCCCTTGACTTTCAGGCATATCAGTGAAATGAAACAGAAAGAATATCTGAAGAACCTAACCCTTCAGATCTTTGTGCTGGATGCTGAAAACTGTTCTTCTGTAAGTAAAACTAACAAGTTGGTTATCAGACCAATGCTGCATTGGAATAGTGGAGGGAATGCAGGGCTGTGTTGCTGCTACTGCTATCCTTGTTTAAAATTTAAGTCTCACCTCAGGAGGTTTAGAGGGTGCCCATCTGTGCAGCTGCATACTTCCTGCTGGAAGCCCCCTCAGAGGATTTTGGTTTGGGAAATCATAAGATATAGAGACACTTATCAAAAAATATCTTAATGTTATTTTTGGCCTCTGCCATCTGTTCTGTTTTCATTTTGCTTCACTTCATAATTGATGTTTTGTGCCAGTGTGACCAGTAATTCTTATTTTCAGTGTAGTAAGTGGAGGATGTTGATCCTGAAAGAGTCGCTGGCTTGTTCTCCTGAAATAATCTGCTGGAATGTATTCTGTCTCTTGATAGTGCATTTCTAGGCTTCACATCAAGCTTGGTAGGTCACTTATACCTTCTGGCAACTGTCCCCTCAGAGGGGAGCTGTGGGCACCCTTGGTTTATTAGCACTGTGCCACATTTGCCCCTTGCAGTGACAATGGCACTACTTTCAGTTAAGTGCCAAAATGATTGAATACAGTATCTGAACACCACCCGCTTCCTCTGTTTTTGTGGTTTTTTTACTGGATGAAGCCTTTGGATGTTATAATGAATCAGTGATAAATAAGTAGCTAAGAACAGTTTTCATAATATATCACCTTCAACGACGACTCAATTCTAGTTCAAATTAGCATGACCCTTCTATGAATGTTTAGTAAAGACAAGCATTAGACAGATAAGTGATGGTTTTTTGCTAAATTTTCAGGCTATAAGAAATATAACTGATCTCCATACCTTCTTAATGGCTTCCTACATTTCCTCTGTTTTCCTTTCTAGACCACCACAGTCAATGTGTCCAATGTGGAAACTGCAGAGAGTGTGATGAAGAAGGCACTTGTCCAGCTTGGACTTCCTGTAGGTGACTTGCAGGGACTGCCTGATGCTAGCTAGGGAAGCTATCAGCATTCAGATTTCAGGACAGTACAGAGGTAGAGAAGTCTTTGTTTGCTGTAGTTAACCATGAGGTTACTGATACTCGCTGGACTAGGAGCAATCTGTTTATGTGGCAGCAAAATTCTAGAAGCACAGACATGCATACATTCCCACATTGAATTCAAACTTCATGAAACAAAGTCCTTCAGATTTCACAGGACTTCCATGCTTGCTTAGGCTTGGGCCTAGCTTGTCAAAGAATTATTAATAGAGCTGTGAATGAAATAGTGAATGAATAAGTGATGTTATGAGAGGAGACTTTCCCATTGCAGTGATCTAGCAATTACAGTGTTAGCTTTTACAGTGCCCAGTAGCACACCTCGGAAGTTCATGGAATATTTTGCTAAAATAGTCTTGGAAAGTCTTATTCTCATTCTGTAATATGAAAATCCCTTCTATTATGTCATGCTTACATGTAATTCTGAGAACAAGTGCCTTGCTGTGCTCTGTAGTATTCCAGTCTTGAGATAGATAGCTATTTCTCATCTTTCTTCAGCTTGTAGAACATGTGATCCCAATACATCATACAAGGATGACTGTGCTGTGACATGCAAGGAAAAGGGAGATAGAGAGTAGCTGGTACCACACACTAAAAGCATTGGCCTATTAAGGCTCAAAGTGGTCCCACATTCTGTGGGATACCAGTGCACCAACACTATTGAAAAAGCACAGTGACTTGACTGGTAGCACTTTACTGGCTGCATCAAGAGATTTTTTCAGTCAGAGCCTACTGAGTGAACAGTCAGGAAACCATTATGTGGTTTTGCATCCCTGTGGCTCTCAGTATATTCCTCTGAACCTTTTTTCTTTCACTCTGCATCATACAAAGTGACTTAGAGCAGCCTTCCCTCCCAGCCATGTGCCTGCCCAGGAGTTATCTATACGTGTCTGTTCTACTCCTTGCCCCATTTAGACAATTTTTTTCTGCTGTTTTCTAAGTTGTGTACAACCTCTTGGGCCCTGATCTAGGCCCCCTTCAACTGATATTTTTCTCTTATTTGTTCTTCAACCATCAGGGTAGGACAAGTGACCACCATCTCTGGGTGATCTCAGGAAAAGATGACTCCGCTTACCCTCTCATTGGTATGAGCTCTCCCGCTTTCTTTAAATTCTAGCACCATAGAAATAAGTGAAAAATGGCACAGGTGTATGTGGCAGAGAAATTTCACAGTGTGAAGAAATACATCAAACAGCTTGGGGCAAATTGCTGTATTTTAACTGCCTCTTGCTTCTCTGATACAGTTGTTCAGCTGTTGCTCAGACTGTTGTCCTACAGCGTGCTGCATAGTCACACCAAATGAGGTATCCCAACGCTATGTTGTATTTTCAGTTATAATCCAATTAACACATCCTGAGGCTGTCCAAGAAACGCATGCTGGCTTATTAAAGAGATCTAGTTCCGAAGACCACATAATCATTTTAAAACCATTATTTTGGGGTTCATTACACTGCACATGTATTTGTGGGTGTTTATTGGTATTTTCTAAGCAGTTTTGTTTCTTGTACCTAGACTGTCATAGTGGGGTAACTGGCACAAAGTAATGCTTACAGGATGTTTTTGGTGTAATGGGGCTCACAAGTCTATTGCAGTGGTTTATTGCATGATGTTCTGGAAAACTGCTAATAGGGAGTGATTGTCCAGGTTAACTTGCTGAATTCAACTTGTAAAACAATGATTGTAAATGCACAGCTGCATCTTGGCCTCTTCAGTCCTCAGGTGGAGATTTCTAGCAGCATTGTTTAGAGGCCCAATTGGAGTGGCAGCCATTGGCTGTGACTGCTTCCTCCTGCCCAGGTTTGGAGTTGTTTGCACATCTGCGATTTACTTGTTTTTTACACACCTCTCTGCTCAACAGGGCACGAACATCCGTTCAGCATTGCATTAAACTGTCTCCGGGACTCTGCTGACCAGCAGCAAGGAACTCACAATCACACCCTCCTGCTTGATGGGACAGAGACATCCTTCCTTGAGCAGCTCCCAAAAGAGAAACAATGTCAGTTTGTCCTGAAACCCAGGCTCCAAGCTCCAGTGCAACTGAGAAGGGGTGAGAGCTGCAGGCGTGCCTTAACCAGAATGAGATTTTGCTGTTTTCACTGTCAATGCCAAACTCTTCCTAGCATTGTATGAATATCTCTGGGTTGCACTCATACTTCATTGCATGTGTAGAGGACATGATTGCAGAGGTGCTAAATTTTGATTAACTTTCAGTTGCAGGCCATACATGGATTTTATAGAGTCCCTGAAGAACAGTGAGTGAATAAGAGTTTTGCTGATGACTGAGAGGTGAACAGGTGGCTTACCTGCTGCGTATCCCCTGACCACCCTCATTAACAGTGTAGTTATTATCCATGAGATGGTAGAAAGTCCATGGTTTGCTCGGATCTCTGCCTCTGCTGCAAGCCAGTCACTGTCCAGTAGAAATGACATCCACATGTGTAATGGAGGTATGTTTTCTTTCAGAGTCACTGCAGAAGCACACTAAGAGGAAGAAGTCTTTGATTGACTGGGCCCTGCGGCGCAGCACCAGTGCACCCACAGACAGCCCTCCTTCACAGTCACCTACCACCCCACAGAAACTCTTCGGCATGTCTCTGTCCTCTGTCTGTCCTGATGGGATCCTTCCCAAGCCAATCATGGTAAGGAGTAGTTTAGGCTACTGACATAATTCTTGGCTAAATACACTGCATTTTAAAGTCACTTGTGATGTTTACAAGGACTGGTTTGAGAAGATGAACATTTGCCTGTGATTCAGATCTAACTCAGTAGCATGAGTAAAAACTGCAAAATCTGTAACACTTGTTGTGTAGATGTCCATCCTGTTTCAATGGGATTTTCCAGCAATATCATCACAAGTGAAGAAGGAACAGTGTCAGTGTACCATGTACTGGTGTATAGCCTGAATCTCATTTGACCAATTTGTCCATTGATCTCTCACTTGCTAAAGGATAGAAGTACTTCTAACTTAGCTGTTAGACTCTTGGCCCTGGTCAAGTCATGACAAACCTCTTGTATATATGTCCTCTTTCCAGTGCTGACCAGGTCTTATACTGTTATAATATATGAGATATAAGATAAACAACAGGGTGAAGTGTTTGGCTCTTATGAATAATTGAGCTTTCTCTTAGGATATGCTGTTCCTGCTGTACCATGAAGGTCCCTCTACTAGGGGCATTTTCAGACGTTCTGCCAATGCCAAGACTTGCAAGGAGTTGAAGGAGAAGCTGAACTCTGGAGATGATGTCCAGGTGGATGGAGAGTCGGTCTTTGTGGCTGCAGCTGTCATCACGGTGTGTTTGGCCAAATAACTGCTGTCTCAGCTAATCACGCCTTCCTTCTTTCAGTAAGGAAGTAAGATGTATCTTTACAGAGAGGAAAGATTGCAGGCAGGGCGCTGTAGGGGCTGTTGCACAAAATATTTTCTATCAGGGCACATTCTCAGCTGATGGCTCCACTTGTCTGTGTGCACAAAGTTATCTGTTTGACTTGATGGAGGGTGCTTTAATATTCAGCTATGTTTGGTAGCCCTCTTGCCAATGTTTCATTTTGTACCTTATTGTACAAAACAGCATCCAGTAGCAGATATAACAGTATTTACTTCCTAAATAACCATAGCTTCTATCTAGAAGTTATTTCACATCAAACACTGTGACAGAGCCTGAACTCAGTAATTCAGATGCTACACTGCCACAAAGTCTTCTAATGTCAGAAGAACAATTGCTGTGTCCTATTCTGGACATGCAGAAGAGAGTGGAGGGAGACATAGATGTTCTCAAAGGTCCCTTCCAACATCAGATATTCTGTGATCTTATGTTGGAGGATAAGTGCTATTTGACTGCAGCTGCTCTGCACTGCTCACAGAGAGGCCATTCTCAAAAGAGGTGGTCAGACTCGGAGCCTTCACCTTCTAGTCAGATGGCAAGTGAGAAGGAAAACTGCTACCAAGTCTGAGCAGAGACATTGTGTTGAATGGGGGATGAAGACTGTGGTAAGACTCAAGTTTTAACAGGAAAAAGCCTAGCGTTTGTATGGTCAAACATGGTTTAAATCTTGTCATGTTTCACCTGATCCGTTAAAACTGATCTGAACCAGTCAGAACTTTGGGAACTGAAGTGCTGAAAAACACCTTGCCTGTAGTTTTTGCTGCCCTAATATAAAAGACTGTCAGACATATTACAAGGCAAGGCATGTGTTAAGTTCTTATAAAGTCCTCTCAGAAAAATGGCAGTCCTTATTGATTAGAAATATTTCAAACAGAACTATGCACAGCTTTGAATAGCAGTCCTTGCTCTAATATGGTGGAGATCAACCCTGTTCTGGTGATGGGAAAAGCACAAGGGCTGGCTGTTTACTCTCTTCTGCCATAAACTATAGACACAGTTTGGTAATGCTGCAAGTGAAGAGGCTCGAGGACAGCTTGGTGAAAATGGGGATGGAAGGAGAAATGTATCTGTGTCGCATTTCATTTTATCTTCTGCTTAATATGAATAAACATTGACTATATACATCGTGAAACCAAAACAAGGAAATTAAAACTGACCAGACTGCTCTGCATGTATATATTTAATTCAGGATTTTCTCCGAAATATACCTGACAGTGTTCTATCCTCAGACATGCACGGACTGTGGATGGAAGCTGTGGATACAGAAAATCGGGCACATAAGATTGAAACTATCAAAAGGTTTGTAAAAGCCTTTAAAGATTATTTTGGTGGAGAAGTGGGAGTGTAGGGCTCTAATTTAGATTCGTCCTCTTGGAGACTCCTGTTGCTGCTCCAGGTCACTGTGGAGCTGTTGCTGATTGTCAGTGTCACAGATCAGAGCATTTTCCTTTCAGTGGTCTTTTGGTAACGTTTCTAACCCACAAAAAAATCTTTAGAAATTTGTTTTTTGTTGACCATTTCAAATTATGAGAACAATCAAATTGATAAATTGCGATAATTCAGCCACCAGAAATGCCTCAGATATTATTGGAATTAAATCTCTAGCTATTGTAACTCCAGTATTTGAAGAATGGATTCTTATGAACAGTGCTGTTTTTCTGTTACCACTCCCGGAACAGCTTGGTCAGTCAGCTCCCAGAGGCCAACCTTATCTTACTCAGACACCTCTTCGGAGTTCTTCATCATATTGAGCAGAATTCCATTGTGAATCAGATGAATGCATTTAACCTGGCTCTTTGCATAGCACCCAATATGCTGTGGCTACCTAGTCCCACTGGGCCTGAGGAGGAAAGCAGGTCTACAAAGAAGGTAATATTTCATAGGTTTGGTCTCATAATTGTCTTCCTCTTTCACAATTTTTATTTACGGGCTCTGTATTTTGTAGACTAAAGGGAGGCTCAGTATCAGTGGTATTGCCAGCTGAGTGGCACCTGGGCTTCACCCTTTCCCCTGTGCAGTTATGCTCAGGCTGGTGGAGCAATTCAGCCACTCAGATTATGTAGGGTAGAAAAAGAAGCTGTGATTGCTTTACCAGCTGAAATTCCCTTCAGCATGAGCATACTAAGGAAAGATGGGGCAGCTGGAGTTAGATAGTGCTGTTTCATCTGAATGTAAAGCTATCCTGCAGTGATAAAGTATGCATTAAACGTGGTGGAGGGGAGGAGTCCTTGCTTGTATTTTGTTACTGATAGCAAGGAAAAACGTGGAATGTGCCATGCCTGGCTTGCTTCTCCAGTTCACAAAGTTCATATCCTTGCCTCAGGACTTCTGTAGTTAATACAGAAGTATTACTGCATTCTGAACAGCTTTTTGAACAAAAGATTCTGTAGGAAATCATATCTTTTTGAAATAAAAAGGAACTTTGGGGGAATTGCTTGAATTGCATTACTTATCTAGTTATATAATCATTGTACCAACTTTGTAAATCCTTGTCTTTGCCAGGTAGCCATGTTAGTACAGTTTCTGATTGAAAACTCAGCAGAGATTTTTGGAGGTGACATTGCTTCCTTGTTTCAAAGACGGGACAAAAATTCCACAAACTCACAGAGATCTCTGGGTAAGTTGATGACATTCTATCTTCAAGACATCGTTAAAATCTTTTTAATAGGTGAACTCTTAATATAAAATAGTTTGTTTCTCCTTCATTTCTGCCAAAGGAAAGTGTTGAAAAAACAGCCGGTTTTGGTTGTTGTTGTTGTTTTTTTTTTTTTTTTTGGTTTGTTTTTTTCCCTTTCCCTGTCAGGCATGGCCAAGAAAGGGGAAAGCAAAGGGCTGAATTTTCACAACTTAAATGTGTCCCTGAACATGGGAATTTAACTGTGGCTGATGTTCAACCTATTCCAGTCATTCCAGACTAAAGTACCAGCACAAGAATTTATTGTAGCCTTAGCAATGGCATGTCCCAGCAATGTTTTCTTCCAGATTAATTATGTAGGTCTGAACAAAATGGTTGAATGGGAAGAGATTCACTTTTCTATTATCTATGCTATGAATGCAGGCTAGTGGTGAAAGCTTAGGTTATCAAGCCAGAAATGTTTGTTTTGTACCCAGACTTGGTCTAGTCCCTTGGAAAAATTATGGATCATCTTTGATTTCCTCTTTACAAAATGGAGTTGGTAACATTTCTTATGCCTTGGCTGTAAGGTACTGTGTGGAGTTAGGAGACACAGACAATTGACTGTGTTTTCTACTCTAGGCGAGGCTCAGAATGATGACTCCTCTGATGAGCTGGAATTCTCTGCTTATGACCTGGAAAGACCAAAGCATTGCCTGATACCTAAAACAGATGACGTTTTTGAACCACCCAGTGGTTTATTACTTGACGAAGAGCAAGAAGACTGGGACTTGTTCAGTGAGATCACAGCCTGCTACCAAAGCAAAACCCAGAAGAATGCCAGTGCAGACAGCTATGATCTCCTAGAAGAGGAGGGTTCCTTCTGCTCCATGGGCTCAATACGCTCACTTAGCCCAGCCAGGGACCGGTGCTCGTCAGAGCCTAGTGTCTGCCTTAGCTCCCAGCTTCCTGCTCAGAGCCATGAGCCAGTGGCTCGCCAGTCTAGCTGCGATGCCACCATCATGCACAATCACACAGGTTACATCCACAGGCTCAAGCAACTGCAAGTGGAGAGCCAGAAGCTGATTGATGAAGGCCTTAGCACTGGGGCTAATAAAGCCAGACAGAATTTGTGGCAGTCACCTCAGACCAGCTCTAAGGTAAAGAAGCTCAGCTTTCAGAAATCTAACCCGTCCAACAGGTCCAGCTTCTCTAGCCTGTCTTCCACCACTACATCCCCATCTGCATCCTCACTTAGCTCCCTAGACAGTGCTTTCTCGTACTGCTCAGAGTCATCAGCTGTTAGTCCTACAGATGTCTCCTCCCTGTCATTTATGTTTGGCACATCTGCCAGGCTTCATGCTGTGTCCCCCAAGGATGCCAAGAAGTCCCCAAAAGAGTGGCACAAGTCCTTCACCTCTCCTGTGCCTTTACAGCCATGTGACCTAGACAGTTTCTGTGACTATGAACCCAAGGCTGTAGAGAGCAGACATTGTCATGGGGAGAGGAAAAGCTTTCCTTCTGGCAGCAGAGCTGCAGCGGGGAGCCCACTAACCGACACTGACTGGGAAAAAGAGGAGAGACAGCAGGGATTTGTGGAGGTGCCTGATCTGAAGTTCCAAAACCTGGATTATCCCAGTGAGCTAGAACAAAATTCTGAGCCTTCACCTGATGACTTAGCCAGCAAGAAATTCCTGCAGCTCAACCAGCAGCAACACAGGGAGAAGTTTGTGAAGCACATTGAAATCAGAAGTGTTGATGCCTACTCTCCAAGCCAGGAAGGCCTGAAGCGTACCAAGATAACTTTTTATATGGCCCCAAATAAAGAATATTGTTGGAGATTGCCAGGGGAAGAGGAGAGGTCCTTGGTGAACACCAGCGGCACTGACTCTCCCAGCAGCCCCAGTGAACAAAGCACATCTAAGGGCTTGCAGTCTGTGAGAGTCCATATCCCCCAGACGGTGTTTTATGGGCAGAATACCCCTCTTGTTCTGCAATCTGCCTCCAGGCAGCTCCACTGTGAATCAACAATCCTGTCTTCACAAGCAAGTCGCAAAGAGAACCTCCAAAGTGCCTCCACTCCGAAGGAGCTAGAGAGCAAGCCAGGGGAGGAGGTACAGGTGCCAAACCTGAACAAGGGTATCAACACATTCAGCCACACCATCCATATCATCCTCCCTGCTTCTATTCAAAGCACTGTCAGGGAATATTTCAAACATGATGAAACCAAGACCTGTCCCATGGCTGAGGCAGAAGCAGTGGAGAAGGAACTTCTTCGGAGCAGGATGGAGTGGCTTAGGAGGCAGCCACTGTCAGAAATGGCTGCTGAGGAATGTGATGCAGTGGTATTTGCAGAAGAGACATTTGTCTAGAGTGATGGCTGTGGAAGGACTGAATTGTGTGTGTGTGTATGTGCAGCAGAATATATTCTGATCAAGGTGTGAAGAATCTAGTGGGCTGTATTGAGCAGTAAGTATAAAGTGGCACTAATGTGTATGTAATGTTGAGGTTTGCAGTTCATTTTGGTTGGGGTGTGAGCAGTGTTCTTTTTGTTACATTCTTTTTCTACTTGAGATACTCACCAAGGGATCTGTTTGCCACCAGACTGTCCCAGAATTTGCTGACCTTGGCAGAGGTCATTTCTTTTTGAAGCAGAAAAGGAGAAACTCTTATTTTCTTCAGTCACTGATGTGTACAGAGGACTGGAGAACTGGGGCAGCAACTATTCCAGCAGAATTAGTTAAATTTTAAGCTTGCATAAATAGCTCTACTATTCCCTGTTCATCACCACCATTCATCCAAAAGGAGATTCTTCACCTCCATTCCAGAAATCACTACTTCTCTCTGCTTATCTTCCTTTTGTCCCCCAGGGAGGGTAGAACTCTGTTCATTACTACTTGATTTTGGACTCCAGATAGACCAAACAGAGCCCAAAGCCCAGCTTTCACTGACAGACGATATCCAAGATCCTTTCTTTTTTTTTTTTTCCAGTTAATTGTTCACTAATTCTCATCATTATTTTGCCACCATTACTCTGAAGGACTATAGCTCTGTTGCTTAAACAGTGCTATGAACGTTTCATTCCCTTGGCATCCTCTGGGAACAGCTGGGCCTTCCAGTCCTAGTAAGAGGTGACATCTTTTCTGTAACTGAAGATGGAAATTCAGAATGGCCTTTCCCAAGGCAGTGTGGGTGGGGATCACAGTCAAATTCCTAGTTAAGCTGAAAGGGGCCCAATCAGGAGTTGGTTTTAGCATGAAGTCACGGTGTTGTGGAAGTAGTCAGGAAAGCTGTGAAGTAGGTGCTGCAGCAAAAGTCCCATTAGGCTAGGAATCTCTCAGACAATCTAATAAGCTGAGATTCTTCAGGCTTTGATAGCGCTGTTAAAGCTGTGTCAGAGAAATGCATTCCCATCAAAATGCTCTGCCCAGTATCATCTAGCAGAGTTAATTATGGAGAAGTGCCAGGCAAGCACGTGACAGAAGGCTGCTTGTCCGGCACTACTGAAAACATGCAGCCAGTGGGCTCTTATGCCATTGTCATGATGCCACTCAGGACAATGTTTAGTGTAACTTTTGCTATGATGGGACTTAAGAGGATTGTGGTGCTGCCAGCTAAGCTCTAAAATAAGCAGAGAGCACCACAGGAGCTAGATAGGATATAAGAAAATGATGGGAAAAGTCTTAAAGATGAAAAGGTTCAGGATATGTCATTCTCTTAGAGAGACAGCCCTTTTTCTCAGCTAACAGTTGAGACAGCTAAAAGACAGAAGAAATACGTGAATCTTAGTGATCAAGCAGTAGTCCTTCTGAAGTACTCCTTTGCACATTGCTGAGTCCATTCACTACCATACTTGAGGATTACTTGACACCCACTCTTATTCAGCCCTTGCACAGAGGGAAAACCACATCTGTAAATGACCAAGTAAGAATTTTGCAGTTGCTGGTCACTATCTGTACCTGGGAACTGGTCCAGCGCTCCAGATTCGCACTCTGTGATTCCCACGAAGATGGAGGGAAACCCAGAGTCCACATCACAAGGTGTACAGAAAATGTTTTGTCATGTGCAAAGTGTTCAACTTTCAGGTGCTGCCTCTGTCCTGTCTCACCGCGGTGGGCCTTGTATGATGAGCGGTGTATATAGTTGTAATGCAAACCTCCTGCTATAATTTTCTCACACAGACACTAAAGATGCGCAGTATTGGTTTTGGTTTTTTTTCCCCAGACCTATGGTTGTAACTATTTGAATAAAAAAGGCACAGGTTTGTTTGCAAGGTGGTGATTGCCTTTTGTTCCCCTTGCTCCTACTTTTCCCTCCTTTCTGTGCTTGTGTGTACTGCTTGCAAAAGACCAAAGCAGGCTCTATGCTTCCCCCCAAGATCTGCAGCAGCGGCCTGTGCTGACAAGGAACCCTCTGCCATCTGTATTTCTCTGTAGCCATCATTATTTGAGGTTCTCCCTCAGGGAAACAGGCCCAAACAGCACCAAACAGAAGGCAGTAGATAAAGTCACTAATGTTTTAACAAGGTGTAAAACTATCCCTGCTGCTGCCCCCTACCTGGACACGTGGAAACTTATGTCACTGCTGTCCAGGTCTGCACCTGACAAACAAACCAAATCTGCACAGGTTTTTCAGGAACTGCTGTAGATTGAGTATCTGTGTCTTTTCAGGAAGGTGAAACAGCACTAAATATTATGATGGCATTATCTGTACTTAGAAGGAAGATTAATCTATGTTCCAAACAGGCTGACAGCTTGTAGACTGGCTCAGGGGCCCGGCTGGTTTTGGTTGGGACACGGAGGACCTGACCCAAATGCCAAGAAAGAACTCTCAAGTTGCATCACCCAAAAGAATTATGAGCAAGTTAAGAAGAGGTTTGTTTATAGAAACAGAGGGAGGGGAGGGGCAAAACAAATTTTCCTCTTCTCATCTGAGGCTGCCTAATATGGGCAGATTTCTCTAACAATTTCTCTAACCCCGTGCTTACTGATTTTTTTTAACAAAGGGAAATTTTATTAATAAACTAAGTTTGACAAAGTTTTTCGGAAAAGATAAGACAAACCACTGGTCCCTGTGGGATCCCTGTGGCTGCCCAGCAGAGGCAGCACTGCAGTAGCAAACAGTCTGATGATGCACACACAGTATCCAAGAAAGTTTGTATTATGGCTTTAGGAAAGCTACATGTTAAATAAAACAGTTACTTAGGCACCAAGAAAACGTGTATCTTGGTCAGAAACATTTTTGCCCAAGCTCCTGCTCCTATGGATCATCATGCTGTTCCTTAGCCTTGAGCTAGATGGGATTCAATTCAATATCAGGGAAATAGTTACCTTTTGGTAGCCATCACTGTTTTCACATTCAACATTTCTAACTTTTTTTTTTTTTAATGTCTATTCAGATTACATGCAGTAGCTGACAGACATGCTGTGAAAGCTGAAGCACGCATTCACCACAAGCCCAGGCACTCATGCCATGCAAGACTGGCATTTTAGCTTCGTGGATATGAAGATGCAACTAATCCCATACCTGCTAAGTTAGCAGAAGTTTTTCCCATACTTCCAGGTCAACAAAATACACATAGCAAATTAGTCATAGAATTCCTAGGGCTAGAAGACTGAGAAAGCCCCTGAGAAGAATTTCACATGACCCTGTTTGCTCAGAACAAATGATACCGAATACACATTGTTTTGACCTAGAAAAGTAACGTTTTCGTTTAATGCACAGCTCTCAGGTGTAGACACAAATAGGTTTCCTTTCCCTTTCTGCTCACTTTCAGATTAAAAAATAAAAAAAGAAATTTGGCCCAAGTTGTCTTGACAACTCTGGGCTCTGCTGGACAGCCATGTAGTACTTTTGCCATCTTGGAAGCAAGGAGCTTTCCTGTTCCCTTTTACACTAAAGATCAAGGCCAAGAAAGAGCAGCTCATTTACCTTGAGGAAACAATGACTCATACCCTTCAGCCTCCTCTCATTTTTGCTTGGCACGTATAATTTTTTTCTCTTATCCTGTAGGCTGACAGAAACTGTGATAGAAGTGCCTGGGGAACAGCTACAGTTGTTTATTTCAACTACCTTAATTTCATTTCTGACATACCTACAATCAGGAAAGTCAGGTCTCCATCTGATACTCTGTGGCACCTTTAAGCATCAGACTTGTCAAAGATTTTGCTACCTAAATTTCAAAGCAAACAGCTCACCCTCACCCTAGAAACATTTTCTTCAAAAAGCAACCACACTGGAGTGGGACGTGACAGCCACTGCTCAGCCCTTTCAAACCAACAGCTATAGCCTCACTCACCATCCCAACAGTGCATGGCTTCACGCCGGCTAAAAAGAAATGGCATCTTCCAGCAGCAAGCTGTGGTACCACTGCAGGCTCACAATCAGGAATCAGCCGATGAGTACAACTACAAAGCCCCAAACACTCAGCTTTTCAAAGGGGCAGTGGCAACATCAGGAATGGGAATACATGAAGGGGTATTGCACCGGGTGGTTTCACTGTTGTCATTAAATCTCTTTTGCAGCCTATGGTAAATCACAAGTGTGCAGCACCTGCATTTTTTTCCTAGTTCACATCCTTCTTTCTCTTACCAGTTTTCTGGCATTCAATTTTGTATTCATTTCTGCATGACAGACCAGAGCAGAAAACAAAGTCTGAGGCAGGGGAGTTACAGGGTGTCACTGCCTACCTGTGAGCAACACACTGACCCTCAACCACAGTGATATGAGCAGAGCTCATGGCAGAACTACTCCTGCCTGAAGGAGAAGTATGCAGGAATTATCAGCCATGAATAGCTGCTCTGAGATATCTCAGATAGAGCCAGTCACCAGTCAGAGTGTGAGACACCAAGTAAAGAAGAACAGTAATGTGATGATGTAGGTAAAATTCAGGTTCAGGTCTCATCCTCCTCCTTCCTACCTGCCTTGGGTTTCGTGAATCGCCGGTGTACAACGAGCTCCACCTGGTGTCTGAACGAAGCCGTTACCATCTCTCGGCCCCTGGCGTTCAGATGCGGTCGGGCGGTCAGACACACCGCACAGCATTTGTATTCAACAACTGACTGAAGAGCTGTGGGATGGGTAAAAACTAAGCTCTCGTTTTTTCTGAACTGTTCCAGATGGATCCTGGCTTGCAAATCCAGCACAAACACGGAGGATAATGCAGGAAATCTCCAGTAGGAGGCAGAGTCATGAGGTTGTCCTGGACAAAATCATTTGATGTATTTAAACACCTTTAAAGGATGCTTTCCACTGCACCAGGATGCTTAAGCTTGGATTTTGCAGTTATTTCAAGTCTAGAGGAGGATTTGTATAGCCAAAAGTGCCTGTCCTCCCCACAACAGTATTAGGTCTAATGAGAGATATTACCCCTCCCTACAAAATTTTTCACCTAATTATAACACTATAATGTGATGGAAAGTACAGCAATAAGAGCAGAGCGGCAATGTTTTCAGCTGCAGCAAATGAGGACAAACCCAAAAGCAGCAACTGTGGATGCAGAAACAAAGGAAGAAAATTCGTTTACCTTTGGAGGTAAATGGCCTCAGGTAGGCAGGGATCTCCAGCAAGATACCCTCACCTCCACTGACAACCCTTAAATGGGGGCTGGGAAGGGGTGGATCCTGCCTCCATCTCTTCCATCATCAGCTGCATTGCTTGCACTTGAGCTCCCCTGAATTTGCCCTGCCTTCCCACCAGGTGCTCCATCAGGCTCTGACTTAGCATTTCTGCTACATTTGGTTACATGTCATGGATTCTCTACAACATTCTGAGCAAATATGTCAACCTTGCCATCTAAAGCAAGGGGAAAAAAACAACAAAACAGTGGTAACCAGGACAGTAGGTTATCACATCTAACTTCCCCCTAGACTAGTTCTACTGCAACCGGACTGATGTTACAAGAAAAGCATATTTACAGATCTAAAAGCCTGATTATTGGATTTTATTTTATGTATGCTGCAGTACATTAATGAGAAAATGTGATATTTGCAGAAATTAGCATATCATGGCACATAACAATTCAGTGACATGCATTCAAATGTTACTGCTAAGCAGACTAAGCTTGTTGATGTCAGCAAGCCAAGTAACACAGTCTTGCATTTGGAACAGCTACCTCTTCTCAAGCTTCCCAAATTGGGAAAAATCTGCTCTGCAGTTAAATAACAGAACAGCACAGAATTCCCAGTAGCTACATGGAATAGTGGAATACTTAAAAGGAGATGAGTTACACACAGCACAGACGTTTACTGCCACCCACCCAGGGAATTGTAAAGCCACATGTTTTCATCCAGTTGTGTTCATGAGAGCACTTAAGCACTTATTTAAAACTTATGTTGAAAATCCTAGCGTTAAGCTTTGCTTAAAAAAGAGATTTGCTGAACAGTCACATATACTAAACCAGACTTCTATTGTCTACTGTAAACCAGCTGCAGAGTACTGGTATTAACATAAAGCAAAGAGTCCCTCCACACCTAAGGAAGCGGGCTGTGCAGGAGCTGTTTCCGGTTACTGTTTGCTTTGCTTTCCAACCTCCAGCTGACTCCTAATATCTGATACTTCCACAGGGACCTGCACTGTCAGACCATCCATCAACTTCTTAATGCGCACCTGGCATCCAAGGCGAGATCTGAGAAGAAAATATTAAATGAAATTCATTTGTTTCCACAGTAAAGAAAGAAATTCCTAACTCACATTGGAATATTTGGTCCAGGATTACTTTTCACAGAAGCGAAAGACCCAACAGAAAACAGCACTAGAGGCACAATTGCAATCCAGAACAAACCTGTCTCTTTGTAAATGGGTGCCAAACAGGTGCTGAGAAACTGTCTCAGCAGGGTTTTGAGCATCTGTTTCTGCCAGCAGGTATACTTACGTCTCAGTGAGTCCATATGCCAAGTCCAGCATGTCCATCTCTTCATCTGAGATGGCATCCAACTTTTGAAAGGCATCTTTCTCAAAGATGAGGTGGCAGGTGGAGCAAGCCAATGTCCCTTCGCACGCACCTGGTGGAGAAGTGAGGGAGTGGCAGCAAATCAGAAAAAAACATTGGGGTAAAGGGAGATGATCTTCGGAAATAGTGGGAGAAAATGTCCTTTAGCAGACCTAGAGCATGTCAAAAGAGACATCAGAAGACACAGCAAATGAAGATAGACTTCAGCCTGCCTCTGCTCTGGGAGGATCACAGTTTTCATTTTCATACTTCAACTCCAACCAATGTGCTGCCAGAATTCCAGTGGCAGCAGGGTGGGTCAGTGTGGTAAGACAGCCCAGTGAGCAGCTGCTGAGACAAGAACCTTGCCGGAAAGCAGATGCAAATTGAGACCCCAGCTTTAAGCAATTCAAAGAAAGCAGACTGCATAGCTAAGTGCTGATGATGAAATTAGCAAGAGAGATGTATGCGTCCTTCGTATGCTGCATGGTCTCATCAGAACACAGTACTACATATGCAGTTGTACTATTCCCAAGAACCCACTGGTCACGGCACAGACACAGAACTCCTTAGAGTACATATCCCTCTGCAATACCTACCAAATCCATCAATGGCCAAGTTTTGGTTGACTACCACTTCCAGCAGACTCTCCCCTTCTTTGGCCGTGGTTGTGAGTCGCTCTCCATCCCGATTTATAAAATGCACTGTCACTGAATCTGCAGAGCTGTAGGAAAAGTTTGCAAAAAATCAGAGGATCCCACCTTCTCCTGCACATCCACTGCCAAAGCCTTTTGGCTGAATACTTGAAAGACTACACTACACATACTAGAAGACATTCAGGTTGTCAGTTCTCAGTGGAAATGCACAAATTATAGCAGTTCAAATCTGAGCTGACCCACAATAGTTCCCATTTTATCAAACTTCTCTCAAAATAAATGTTCAGCTATGAGTGAATAAATGCAGAGGCTCTGCACTGCTTCTGCTTGGACTGGTGTGCCTGTAGGCAAGGAAGGCATTAGTTTGTTGTAGAGCCTGGGATGTTAATCCCAAATGCAGTAATAACAAGAGAAGCCCACAGGATCCAACGATAGTAAGCAATAAAGGATGTTATCATTCACTCATCATTTCCCCCTCCCTTCCCAAGGGAATTACTTGCTGACCGTTCCTTTTCTGCTCTTTATTATGTCACAAAGAGCTCACTTCTTGTTTGAGCTCAATCACAGTGGGCTTTCTTGTGATAAGACATGCTCAGCGCAGTTTATGGAACAATCATGCTATGCTGATGCAATCCTTACTTAGGAGAAATAACTGCTTGTTTTGATGGCCTACAGGACTTAATCTAGCAGTATTAAGGACAAGGCCATCAGCATCACGTAATGCTGATTTGGAGAAACTGCATCTACAAACAAGAGAGAAACAGCATTCATTTCATCTCCTCCAGATCAGGGTAACTTCTGACCAACACTCACAGCACAGTTCAACTCACAAACTCAACCACTATGATGAACTGCATGTCCAAACCTAAGTAAGCATCTCAGCAAAATCCAGCACGCGACATTGCACTTGGAAGCCTGGCAGGACATAGATGATGTGGTTTTGTACAGCCCCTGCCACCTACAGCTACCATCTCAGCAGATGAGCATTTGATCTACATTCCCCATATCTTGTCAGGAAGAACGTTCCAGGAAGGAATGGCAACTTGCAGGGAGGCTTCCAATTGTATAGAGAGAGTATGCTACTTCCTAGAGCGGCAGACGTCAGTTCCCCACTCTGCATTTACAGCAGCAGAGATAAGAAATGTGAGAGAATCTGTAATTCATAGAGCACCCCAGTGATCACCTCACCATCTGCACAGCAAGAATGCCCAGGTACCTGACCTGATCTACCATCCCCGTTCCTCAAAAGCCTCATGGTCCCTAACGGGACCTCAGTAGTGCATAAATTCATGTGCCATGTTGCTATACTCATGCTCAGAATCCAGGCACTAGCTGTGGCCTCCATGGCTCCAGAAGCTTCCAGAAACAGGGGAGCAGAACCTCTCACAGATCAGCTCCCTGAACCATCTTCATCCCAGATCAGTATCTACTTAGCCTCATCCACCTCTCCCTTACAGATCATGCTTTGCACCAGCTTACTTCTGTGGGGGCCAACGTAGAGTTCAATGCATTTCCCTTCTGAAAAGGTACTTCCTAGTTCAGTGATATATGGGTCAGAATTTTACTCACCTCAATTCCCCATGAGAATCCTGGAGCTTGCACGTGGAGCTGAAGCCTCTTCTTGACATCTGCTTTGATCGTAAGCAATTCTGCTCAGTCGCCTCACAGAAATAAACAAAGTGAGTTTTACTCACTTTCAGGCCACTTAACAAGGGTCGCATGAGCCCCGAGATGCCTTGAGCTATCATGATACTGAGGCCTTGCTCTGTGCTTCCTGGGTTGTCTTTTGTTGCAAGGCAAGCTAGAGTAAGAGTTTAAATATGGGGGGGAGAGGGAGGGAGGGGGGAATTGAAAAAAGGACAGCCTCCCTGGGGAGGGACTGGGAGGGGGGAGGGTGGGGGGAGAGGGAGGAGTTGTGCATGAATCTTGCTGCTCTCCAGCCCACTTGTGGTTGTATCAGGGCACTCACGGGTAATGAACAAAGTATTGTAACAAGCATCATTTCCTCACACCAGTCCCCGAGGAAGACTCACCCTGTTTTGCCTTCCAGACTTCCCTTACAGAAACTAGCCCTAAATCCAAATTTGAGGAGCAGTGTTCAGCACAGTGTCTAACTACATTAGGGGGCAGGGAGAGGGTCACAAGCTGATGAGTGGAAAAGTAGAGTGATGGAAACACTGAAGGCCTGAATGATGGTGCCTTGTGAAGACACGTGGGGGGGCAATTAGTTCTTACACAAACAGGGTGAGAGGTAGACTTACTCAGACATCCTCCTGACATGGACACCATCTGGCTACGTCCTTTCCCAGTGTTACAGGCTCCCAGCTGTAGAATGTGGATATTCATTCATACACTTCCCAGGACAGACACAAAAAGCAGCCACAGTTCTTTCAGTTGTTAAATTCTCAGTTGGAAAGTGCCACAGAGGCACAGATAGGTATCACATTTCACATTAACTGATATTTCATGCTTGTGAAGCTTCCAGAGAAGAAACTTCCAGTTTGTTTCCTGAAACACTGACATCACTTCAGTGCTGCTCTGCGCCAGGGTAAATCACTTTGCCTGAGAAACAAAACTCTGCAGAGGGGACAGTTTCAGTTTTTGGTGGGTTTTTTTGTTTTTTTGTTTTTTTGTTTTTTTGGTTTTTTTTGTGGAGCGTGAGAACAGCTCTCATCTCAGGATCCTGAATTGTCCCTAATATCCAATTAACAGTTCACCATTCATTAGGATGCTTGATTTAATCAAGTTTTTTAATGAAATAATATAATGTTAGCCAGCATAAGCAACAACTTTTGAAATTTGACTCTTTAATCACCCCAATACAGGAGAAAAAATTAAAGTGTAAGGATGAGAAAGGCTGGAAAATGTTCCTCTCCACATGCACTCACATCCTGTGCCCAATCCTGCCTTCACTTCTCAGGCACCATCAAGACATGCAGCAGGCAACCCAGTGATCCAAACAAACAAACCACAAAGCATCTCATCTCTCCAGCAAACCTTGAAACGAGAGATAAACTAGATGTATGTGCAGCAGTTTTCACAGCAAGGACATCTGTGTGTTTGCCTGACACTGACCTTTCTCCTTGCCAGAAACTCAGAGCACAGCAAGCGACAGGTCAATGCCACCAGATGGAAGAAAGGAGAGAACAGAGAGGGGAGAAGTCAGGTCTGAGATCATCACACCCAACCCTGCAGGGAGGCAAGCAGCAGTTTTCTCATGAAAACAGAAGTAGCCATGCTAGGGTGGGATGGAACCACATCCTAAACTGGGTTCAGATATCCCGTACTAAGGCATTTGTAACAGGGAGAAAAAAAGCCTGTTGGTATCAGGGTTTTTTTGGCGATTGTTGGTGTTTTTCATTGTTTGTTTGTTTGTTTTTATTCCCTTACTTCTTCCTTCCAATTCTATCTAGCAGCATGCCTAGAAGTAAATCCAGCATTTCCAGAGCAAAACTTCTCAACTTCTCTCATTTAGTCCAGGAAACAAATAGAAAGCTGTTCAAATAACTACTTATCCATGGAAAGAGAAAAAAAAAGAGGAGATTTAAAAATCCCCACTTTGAAAAAAAAAAAAAGCCCTTCAAAATGTTGCTTTCTTTGGAAGTCAGCACACTGAATGCTGGAATGCTTGGAATGACAGGCACAGCTGAAGTGAATCTTTAACTCTGTTTCATAGAAATTTGGTAAAAGTCAAGTTTCCACCAGCAAACACACATGCACATGCCTCTTCTTGCTCACCAGCAGATCACACTGCCATCAGTACAGAGGCTGTGCTGACATGTCTAGTAACACCTTAGCACACACTAGAAATGAAGAGATTTTCTAGCCTGAAATACATTACCCAGTTTCCTCTGCACCACACAGGGGACAATTTTCTTTCCTCCCAGTCTAGGGACCCTCACAAAAAATTTCCAAAATATCTGTGAGATGCAATTATCCCCCTCATCCCTGATTGTTGCAAAAGTAGTAAACAGATTGATATCAGCACAGCACTGGTCCAACAAGACTTCATGCAATAGTGTTGCAGCCCTCCAGAGCCAAAAGCAGAATCCAGGAAGCCTGAGCATATCTCCATCTCCTCCAACCACAGTTGATTTCAGGGCTTCCAAATACATAGACAAGGTTGGCACCAGGCAGACTTGCACTTGTTCCTTTGGGTAGACACACTGTGCAAACCAGAAGAGTTCTTCTGTTAACTTTATAGCTTCCAGGAGACTGCAGTTGGGCAGCATAACATTACAAATCTGCTGCCTCTCTGAAAGCAGATTAAGATGGTGATCTAATCTTGTAGTTATTAATATACATAGGTATGCAGTTCTGGGTTTGAGAGAGCAACTTCACTACCATTGAACGAATATCTGATAAATTAAGGGAGGAATAAGTCCATCCTGAGAGGGAGTGGAAGGAAGAATCAGCAGAGGCAACCTTTTCTGCAGCTGAGTTTCCACAAGGACAGAAGGGGGAATGGATAGAAATTATACACACAGCAGAAACTACCCAGTCCCTGCCCATGAGTGAGCTGCAAGGTGTACAGATGCCAACCAGGTCAGCACATTGTCACCTGCTTTCTCCAGTGAAAAACTGATACTTGATAAAATTCAGATTCCTAACAGTGGAGCTCACAAAGTAAAGTCCAGACAGAAGAAAGGAACTGAGCAAACAGCTCAATGAGTCACGACAAAGTTGAAGTCCAGCATTCTGTCTCAGTACAGAATTGGCTCCATTATTGTTTGGAGGTTTGTGAGAAGGGCAGGTGGTCTGGCCACATGAAGGTAGTGCAAAAAGTCTGAACTGATTTCCATGAAATGAGCCACCAGACAGCCACAACTCCGTTCTACCTTGGAAGAAACACATCACCCTCTGTGCTGTGTTCTATAAGCAAATAAAACAAATTCTTCTGCTTTCTCCAAGCCCACAGGACCAGGCAAAGAGGGCTGCCCCAAAACCGATGCTCTGAACTCAAACCTACAGAGTGCTTACATGTGAAAGTACCTACAAAGTGAGCTCAAGTCTCTGAAAGCACTGACTAGTAGGGGCCAAAGGGTTGGGGGGAAGGTTTTAAACATGCCTCAATCTCTATATCTGTCAAACAAGACTACCATTTTCTTGCTCTGGCCTTTCTTTAGATGTTCAGCAACCTTAGAATTGCTAAAAACAAATAAATCAAGGGACAAATTTTCACCAGTGGAAGCAAGAGGGCAACAGTGCTATCATCAGAGATGAGTTAACGCTGCAACAGGGAAGAAAAATGAATTTTTAACAGAGTTCCTTGACAACAGCCACCTCTGGCAGTGCAGCTGCTGCCTGGCTAGGTGAAGGCCACTACAAGTTACAGTGCCTGGGCAAGGCTTTTATTTGCAGCTACAGTTGCTTCTCCTTTAGTCAGTCAAGGATGCTTCAGAGATGAATGGGAGGGCACTATGTCTGCATGTGGAGCATAGACAAGCTTCTCTGTAACCTTCCAAGTCAAGAGCAGGATATTCCCCATTCCCTTGATCCTCCCTCTTGATTGTCCCTCTTGATCGGAGAGCAACCCTGGCTTGTATTTCCTGAAAAGAGCACAATCAGAAGGAATAACAGTGACAGGGATTTGTAATTTTCCAACTAACTCTGCTCACTAGAAAGCTGTAAGAGTGGTATTAACTTACACAGAGGAAACACCTTCTCAAAAGATGCTCCTGGAAGGAACTCCCAAAACTCCTTTATTCAGACTCACCTTATTCTTTCCTTTCTCCTCCTCATTCTGTTCTGTTCTCTGTAACAGCTTCAACTTGCTATTTGAGAATATAAATCCTAAAATTACTAGTAGCTTTGAGGAAGCTGTCACACTGAACCAGATGTGCATCCAAGCATTGCTTTGTAGCAGCAATCTGCATCATCGCCCACAAACTGCAGACATGCAAGACAAAAGCTAGCCTTAGCCTAACTGAATATGCACTGCAGCCCAGATCCTTTTCTTAGAGATGAGCTGATTGTCCTGCAAGGAAAAGTTTGACATCACACATGGAGTCAACTTGCATGTGGCTATGCAGCAGTTCTGTGTTGACATCAGTCACAGATGAATTACACTGTTCTCTGCCAGTTGCCACATGTTCTGATTATAGGGTGGTATAAGTTAATTACACTGCATGCTCAGGACTGAGTTATACATAGCTGAGAAGCTGCACTCAGCAGAATAGTTAGACTGAATGGCACGGAGAAAACTAGTTGTACCTGTTGTTCTGTGCTTCCTCAATAGGACATATTCTGTCTCCATGATTTTCAAGCAGTTGCCACACAACTGTATATGCTTAACATATTGCATTATTGAGCATTGCAAGATGTTGGAACACAGCTAATAGATGCACCTTCTCAATGAAGAGCCACTACAGCAAGATTCATGAAGTCTGAAGCTTCCCAGGTCAGCAGACATGAGAAACATGGGAATAAATTCAGTTTAGTATCTCAGCCTGTCTAAAGATAGATTAGGAGGATCACAGAATCACAGAGCATCTCTGAAGTGACCACAGGGATCGCTGAGTCCAAGCTGAGGCTCCACCCAAAATTCCAAACCTGAATCTGAGAGCAGTGTCTAAATGCACTTTGAGCTCTGGCAGCTTGGGGCCATGAACTCTGCCTTGGGGAGCCTGTTCCATGCCTGAATGCCCTCAGGTAAAGACCCTTTCCTAATACCCAACCCTAGTGCAGCTTCACACTATTTTGGAGTCTCTAGATCCTCCAGAAACATAAGCGTAAGTGAGAAAGTACTGCCAACCTAGCAGCAAGTGCAGTAAATGATAGAAACCCATTTGTGAGAGCTGCATTTACAGATCAGCATGCTTTCTCTTGAAGAATGCACTACAGCAGTGTTCAAGTAGACATTACAGTTCATCCTGTCTTGTGTTCAGGTTTATTTGAATCCTGGAAAGAATGAGGAAGTCTGTCCTACAAAAACTGTATCCATGCCAAAGCCAATAGATTTCAGAAGTTTCCATTGCTCCACACTACACATTTTGTTTCAGACAAGTTCAAGTTTCTCCTACAATAGCAAACCTGAGTCCCAACAGGTTTTTATTAGATCTCTTGCCTTATTTTTACAGTGCAGCAAGCAGGAGACAGAGGTTATGCAAAGACCCTCTTAACAACCACATGAAAAGCAGACACAAACTAAGATCAAACAGTTCATCAGCAGAAAGTTGGCACTGGGCCCTGCCTGGCAAACTTAGGAAACAGAAACAGAAAGAAAGCCAGAGCAAAGTAGCTGTGAAACAAATGAGGTTGAAATCAATGGTAAAGGGCCAGACTCAGACAAACGCAAGTTTGAGACATGCAGCAATGCTAAGGCTGGCTACCCTCTTACAAACTCACCTGTTGCTATATTCCTGGAGGGCCTGGGCACAGCCCTACACAGCAGGTATTCCACTGGCAAATTCCTGAAACAGTTTTCCCTCTTCCTCTTGTTGGGGAAGTTTACAAGTTAAACGTGATACAAATTTACCCTCCATTAAATTAAAACTTACACTCAGGCTGACCTTCTATGGACTGCGTGTCAGACCTCTAACAAGGAAGCACATTGCTAGACTCAAAGCAAACTTCAAGCAATCATCCAGACACCATCTGCTGAATTTCTCTAAACTTTATTGGCACTGTAGGAAGAACAGGGTATGGATTTTAACAACTCCTACAAACAGGAAAAAAAATGCCTTAATATCAAAGGTCTCTTTGCAGGTACACATGGATCCATGAATTACTCCATAACCCTAAGAAAATGTGTTTTATTATAATCCAGTAAAAAGGCTGGTCAAAATAATAATAATTTACAGCGACAACAACAACAAAAAAAAAAAAAGAGAGAGAGATAAATCAAGCCAGGCAAACATTTGATAAGGTATTTCTTCTTCCCTCCCTCCACCCCCATGAGGAGTAGTTATCCATTTGAATTGGGACATGGAAAGGAAGAAAAACAAATCTGAAAAATAAAAATTAAAAAACATGCCTACAAATTTCACTGTAATACTGAAAGCTTCTTACATTAGTTCTCTTGCAAAATATCATTTCTTTATAATACAGTATACATTTCCAAGGGAAGGGGACCATAAACACATCCTCCATCCCACGACTAATATTTTCTAATTGTGCATAGCTAGAAGTATTGAAATCAAATATCATTAGATACCACTGGAATATAATACTGCTTAAGAAGAAGGCATAGCTGAAACAACTACAAAGAGTGAGGTCAGGTCACTGGTACAGACCGTTCTATTCCTATATTGGACCAAGTGAAGCTAGAATGATTTAAGAAAAACAAAACCAAACCCTATAAACAAGATATGCCAGCATTGTAACACGAGTTCAGCAATGTTGTGTGACATCAGAGCAGAAAGGTTCACTGTTTTATTATCTGAACACACATTTCAGGCACTATATATCAGATTGCTAGGAAACTGTTTTAATGTAATAAGGGTTTTATTTCCCTGCAAATGCACCAATAGTTGCCATGGACAGAGCAGAAGTGCTGAGAACCAGCTTTAAAGCACCAGAAGAGAAGTGTAATGGTTGTCTGCTCCACCAGTAATGAGACTCACATAGAGTCAGTGCCAATAACCCTTCAGTACAGAAATATGCAAATCAGTTCTGACAAGTTTAACTACAATCTTTCATTTGTGATTTTCAAAGCACTGGAGTATGTGTTTTTGGTCAGCCAAAAGCTTCCTGTGTTCTCATGTTCTGTCCAGGAGGGTAAAGGGGGCTCCTACATGACTAATCAGGATGTTCAGAAGTAGCACACTAAACTTCTAACCATGGTTTGGTTGATTGGTGTTTCCGTGGATTTACTCACAGACATGTATTGCTTCCAAAAAAATACAACACTGGTGAGGTTGTTTCTAGCAGTCCAAAGAGTTGCTGAGGAAATACTGCAGTTTATTAACACTGATGTAGACATTTCTTTTTTGGCACACTCCTCCTTTGCTTATAATAATAGGAGCTGAAAATACTTCAGCATTCAGATGTGAATCATCACGAGCAGCGATATCATACAGATAAAGAGGGCATCCACAAAACTAAGAAAGATTTAGAATCACATTAGGCAAGAAAATAAATCATAGGGTAGCCCCATGACTTTCTATAGGAACAAGCTGTACCAAGGAGGGCAAAGCAAATGAAGACACAATTTTGAGGGAATCCATCATTAAGAGGCCTCTTCTAAGGGTCTACATTTCCTTCTACGAAGGATCAAGGCTAAATCCAATTCAACCCTGAGCATACATGGCTGGTTCCCTCCCCAGAAGTGACAAGGACGACTCTGGGTAGCCTCAGCACGAGAGGAACAGATAGAAGGTGATTACAACAATTAACACAGGACGAGTCTTCCCACAGCCACCACTGCCCTGCTTCTAAGAGACAGAGCCCTCTGAACTAGAAACTACAAAGAGGCAAAGCATCCTTCTGGAGAAAAACACACACACACACACACACACTCGAGCCAGGAACCGGCAAAATGCTAGTGAAGATTAAGGCAACAATTGGACAAATCTCACGACCCTCTCCCTACAAATGCTGCTGAAAGCTGCAGTTTTGTTTCTACATGACCCAGATACAAAATAGTTTTGGTCCTTGGCTGTTCTTTACTTTTTATGAATGTATCTATTTTAAACAAAGACATCTGAGCTAAAGTAGATCTATACAGTCATAAGGCACCAGTGACTACATGCTAAAAAGGCCTCATGGAAAAAACTGAAGTCACCCCACCTGACTAGAAATGTACTGGTTCAGCAAAAGAAATACAGTCATGGGAGTTTTCAGTTGTTTACATTTCTGCTTAGCCCTTTCCATTTTCAGTGGTGACCTCAAGATGAAAGGCAGTGTTCTTTAGCTATCTCTGCCTCACTAGTTACATTCAAGTCAGACAAAATAACAGCAAACAAAGCCATTTAAGCCATTTATCCAGAGGAAAACGTATTCTGGAAAGCCTGGAAGTCAAGGCTCCAGTACACCCCACATCAGTGAAAATATTTCAAAGGCCTCCTTGTGATTAGGAAATTTCATGTTTCATCTTTAAACAATAAAAGGTAACACCAGCAGGAATGCCATAGATTCTGTTTGGTCTGCTTACATTTAAAGGTCAAAAGCTTTGGTCTTTTTGAAAGTAAGTCCACATTCTACCTCCAACCCTTCTTCCCAAACTCCAGGTTTTCTATCTCAACTACATGATTCAGACCCTTAATGATATCAGAAATTTAGATGCTGGCCTCAAAGCTTAATACTGAAGCTTGTGCAAGTTAGTAGGAAGGCACAATGTCAAACTGTTAGCACTTTATATAGTTCAGTGAAAGTATCTGCTGGCCTCCCTACTCAATAAGAGAGGACAGCTACACAGCCATTTCAGTAAGCAAAACAAACTAAATGCAGTACGACTTTACCCAAAGTCACAGAATTTCAGATTTGCCCTAATACAAGTTAGCTTTCCCAAGCTACCCCAGAAATATGCAAATGTCTTCTGCTGCCGAACTCCAGCATTTACCAAAAACTCTATAAATAAGACCATGGTCGCTCTTCTGTAGTGGTTCCAGCACAGCACGATTATGAGTGAGTGATGGGAGAGTATGAGAAAGAAGGGAGAAGGGACTGCAGAGCGGCAAGTACAGGGGAGAGTTTACATGGACTCAAACTCATCAATGCGCTGCTTGGTGTTGCCCTGCCGAATCTGACGGAGGGTCTTGTACTTGTCTCGGCCCAGCCTCATGTTCTCAGCGTGGATCATATCATTGGCCGTCTTCTTGGTTTCATCCCGAGCGTTTGCCAACTCTGAGGAAAGAGCCTAGTGAAGGGAACAAAGACAGCAATGGGTTAGCCAAGCCAGAACCTCAGTGCCAGGCAGGGAAGTTCCTTGTTAATCCTCCTACACAGGAAACAGATAAGCTCAACTGTATACCGGCCTGGGCAACCTGCTCCAGCTGAGCCTTCTTGAGCAGAATAGTGAGACTAGATGATCTCAAGAGATCCTTTCCAACCTAAACAATTGTGTGAAAGGTGCAAATATTTTTCCTCTATATTTGAAAATAGTAAACTGCAGGTGCTTCCACCTTACTTATCTTCATCTAGCACAGTAAGAAAGACTATCACTAATTTACTTCAGAGGAAGGAGAAAGTCCAGCGGAGAAATACCTAAAGACTTCAAGATTGCCTTGCAGAAATGAGCAACTACCAGCCTTCTACCACAGAAGAAACGTGTTGTGAACAGAGGACACCCCTGTCACCCTACCTGTGCATGACCAACACAGAATGATGCAAAACAAGCCAAGTCTGTTCCAAGCCATGCATCTAGCACACATTAAAAAGAACACAAAAAAACAAACTACCACCACTTTCTGAGCATCAATACCAGAAGAGTGGAATTCCTTATGAGAAGGAGGTGCAAGATTTCTACCCCCTTCCCTTCCCCCCCCCCCCTCGTGCTGAGCTGTAGCAGGCTACTGTCAGCGTTTCACAGTGCAGCCCATTCAGACAGAACAGAACAGTTACAGCCAGTTGTAGGAGAAGAATTCAACCAGGCCCTCCAATTCATTTCAGCTGGACTCTGAACAGCTGTCAGGTAGCTGGCAAGACTCACACAAGCATACTCTATCTCACAGATGCTGCCTCTTGGCATTGCTTGAAAAGACTTCGCTATTTCCAGTGAAATAGAAATGAACTAGAGACAAGTTCCGCCCCTTCTCCTAATGGTAAGCAGCAATCCAATGAAGTCATGATCACCTTCTCCCTCACTCACCATTCACAGCTCCCTTCTTTTTTTCCTTCCTTTTTAAGGAATACCCGTAAAACCTCACAGTCACAACGACAAAAAGAATAGAAGCAATGCCCATGCACACACACTCGGCTGCAAACTTTTACCTTCAAGTGTTTCTGCACTCGTTCGTTTTTCTCTGCTTCAGTGGTACGCTGCTCCTCGCTGCGGTCCTTGATGGTGGCCTCTGATCGAAGCTCAGCACTGGCTTCCGCTGCATTTTCATCCTGCTCATCATCATGCTCATTCTCAGAGTGCATTGGCTCAGTGACATGAGGAGTGCTCATGGCAGTCTTCAGCTCCTCTTTGGTCTTTTCTAGGTCCTCCTGCACCATTTGTGCCTGCAATAAGACAGACCACACTTAGTCTGTGCAACTCAGATCTAACTTCTTGCAGAAGCACACAGAAACAGTACTTAAGAGCCCTACATCTCTTGCACACTGAAGTGGCGTGTTCCAAAACTACTCAGCCACAATCACTCGCAACATTTTCCGCTGGCTTACACATCAGAGATTTAAGGAATGGTTATAACTCGTGGAAAATGACCTATAGGCCTAATCAAACTAGTCCAAGCTAGAGTTAGAATGTAGCACTCATCTTACAAGAAAAACAAAACAAAAAAACCCATGAAGCTGCATATTTGCAACGGCCTCAGCTTGCAGACACCTTGTCTAGTGGCAGTATTCTAGTGTAGTAGTTCAGGTCACAAAACAAAATGAAGATTAACTCCACAGAAATTAATGCAGCTACTTCAGATTCTGCTTTACCTTCTGCTGCCACTCCTGAGCCTCACTCTCTTTCTTCTGCCTGGCCAATTCCAGCTGCGTGATCCTAGCTGTGAGTTCTGCCATTTCAGCAGCCTGCAAAGGAAAGACTTTTAGTGGGAACAAAAGAGAAGTACTTGCTAAATGAAGTGCTAGTCCAAGTTCTGAATAAAAACAATCTCTATCTTTCTTGTAAGGAGGATACTTCAGTCCCACTGATACCTAAATGATGCAAGGGGAAAAAAGGAGAGGGTTTTTGTTGAGGGTTTTTTCCCCCTCCAAACACAGCTACAGTACTCACATCTTTGAACCCAAGCCAAGAAAAGCAATTAATGAGTTCGAGAGGCTGTTCTCAGCATCAGATACTGTTGCAAGCAAAAAAAAAAAAACAGCCTCGATCTACTGCACAAATAGATACAAACACGCATATTTAAATATTAATTCATCTTCTTTAATGTCTACCCTTAGGAACTAAAATATACTTCACTATATTCATAGCTTAATTTGTTCTATGACCTTAGAAAGACCCCCACAGTGTCACTGTTTGCCCCATCCGATTTTCAGCTGACCCACTCACCAGTTGTTCCTGGGTCTTTTGTTGATCATGGGATGCTTTCAGCAGGGCTTCCTTTGCCTCTTCTGCTTCTCTACGTTCTTTAGCCAGTTTTTCTGCTTCCTCCTGAGCTCGCTTTCTTTCCTGTTCCAGCTCCATGGCTCTGCGGGTCTGTTCTTCCAGTTCTGAAGGAATAGCAGAGTACATTTGAAGAGAAATAAAGCAAAAAATGTAATAGGAGGGTGCCCTTATCCCTACCTCCTGAATGAAACCTTTCCTTTAGAAAGAATGGAAAGACTCAAGCAACTACGTCCTTTCCTCCTCTTTACATTGCAAATAGAGATTGGAGATGAAGAGCTAGACTTGTAGCAAGCCAGCAAATTACTTGCCTGACTGATCTGTGGGAAGTACCCACCTCAAAATGACATCCTTAAAGACAGAAAAGCATGCTGCATTTTAATTGGGCACTGCATAGTAATGCTAGCCAAGCAACTAGATTGTAAAAGCCAGGATACTGGCTGATATGACCCTTGCTACTCTTTCTGACTCTTTCCTCTACTGATGTGCTAAGACAAAGCTTCCAGCTGGCATGTGGACAAGTGAAAGACACTCTAGCTGCCAGAGAGACAGCTTGGCTGCCACCCATCTCTTTAATACAAGCCATACTTCAGAGTATCTGCATCTGCAGATTTGCATTCAGCTTTAGAAGGCTAAAGTAGGGCCTTAACACATTGGCCAGCACACAATACTAGAATCTGAATGGATTGGAGATGCTCCTAGCTTTACTATTTGAATCCTTCTCATTCAGACTACCCAGACTGTGCATGTAATGGAATACTGGAGTATTTCATATTACCTTGCTGGGCTTTCTTGGTTTGCTCCTCAATTTGCTTGAGTTTTTCCATCAGCTCCTCCTTCTCACGTTCAATCTTCTCCTTCTCTTTTTCTGCCAATTCCCTCTTCTTCTTCTCGTTCTCCAGCAGGGCTCTGGTAATGGAGAAAGTCATAATGCAATTTATAATTTACAGCTGTAGTTTGTAGTGCTTCCTAGTGAAACTACAAGCACACAGGAGAAATGCACTAGATTACTCAGCTGATGATCTTTACTCCATATGTGCTCCTTTTAAAGTGAAGTGAAGAAACAAAAAGTTTGCTCTGCTGGCATTCACCTTAGTGGAATTTCATAATAGTAATGCTACTAACAGAAGATCCTTATATCAAGATCCAGATTAGTCCTTTCAAATAGATGGGCACACATTTAATTCCAAGAAAGTGGTGGTGAACCACACCTGTGATGAGAGCCACTTCCATCATCTCATTAGATAAACTGAAGCAGAAAGAAGTCTGCCCTGTTCTTGGCTCAAGCAGGTTAACAAGCATGCTGCCAGCACTTCTATCTAGCACGTGATGCTACTGTGGAGCGACCAGCCAAGTCCGGGTTACTCAGAACCTTGCACAAACCTCTCCATCTGTTTCTGATGCTTCTCTTCCCGAGCCTGTGCTTTCATCTGCTGCACCTCAATGGTATCTGGTTTACGTCTGCGCATGTAGAGCTCATGGTTTCCCATACAAAGTGCCAAGATTCGTTTGTTAATCCGTAACCGAGGGGCGTAGAATACGAAGTCCTTGGGACAAGAAAAGGCAGCATTAAAATTGTTCCTTCAGCATAGTAAACCCTCTATGTATGCAATACACACCAAAACTCAACTTTCTAATACTGCTAGCCAACATTTCTGATCAGTGTCTAATTCACTGCTGGTAGTAGTCAGACCTCCATCTTTCAGAAGTGAATTTCAAGATGATAAATTGACACAGGGCAGAATTGTCTAACTTCCTGTTACAGTCTCCTTGGTATCATCGTAAAGCATTCTTAGTACACAGAGTACGTAGCAGCCTGGCTCTATTGTTTCATTAGAAATACAATCATGGGTTAGTTTACTAGGAACACTGAGGCTGTGCCTTCCTCCACTTTTATTATGAATTAGTTCTTTAAATCTGGTCATCCACATCACGTGTAAGTTTTTCTCTTATGCCACAGAGTGACAGAGTGTTAAAAATTATGTCCTAAAAAAAAAATAACTTAATTCTGTTAAAACAAGAACAGCAGCAGGAAAACGCTTCCACGCAGCCAAAAAACAAAAATGAGCAGAAGAACAGAAGGTATCAGCTGACACAGGATATTAACAGGCCTTAAAGAGTAAATTAAATAATGTTCATTAAAAAAAATGTGAGGAAAAGATGTTCCCAGTGCATTCTACAAAATGATGTGAAGCTTCAGCTTCAAATAAAGTAAAACATGGTGAAAGATGATTCCATGCTACTAAAGTCAATGGGAGCATACAACAGTTAGCACAGGTGCTTCAGATCCCTAATCGTATCAGAGAATTAGAATGGTTGTAGGAGAATCAGAAACCCTAAGCAAAAAGCCTCTCTCTTGCTGACTTTGGATAGCATAAGGTTACAGTGAACAAATGCCTCTCTTCCCAGCCAGAACCAGTTTCCATCTATCCTCTTATTGCTGTTCAATACATTCTTGGCATAATGACCCCAACAGGTAGTAGAGAACTACTTAAGCAACTGCTGATGTTACTGATAAAAGTATTATTTACAACTAGAAAGTAAAGTCACAGACAACTGATCATTCATTTTACACGATCCAATAGCAATGAGACAAGAGGGAATGGCTTTAAACTAAAAGAGGGAAGATTTGGTTTAGATGCTAGATGGAAATTCTTTTACTCAAAGGCTGGTTAAGCCCTGACACAGACTGTCCAGAAAAGTGTAGGTGCTTCATCCCTGGAGGCCAGGCTGGATGGGACCTGGGCAGCCAGATCTGATGGAAGGGCAACCTTGACCACAGTAGCAGGGGTGGAATTGGATGATCTTTTAGGACCATCCCAAACCAAGCCATTCCACAATTAATCTAAGAAGAGACTGAAAGTTCAAAAGCTTTAATATGGCTGTTGCTTCTTACTGGTGCTTTCTTGTCAATAGGCTTGATTACAAACTTCTTGTCATTGAAAGAAATATTTCTGATCTCACTCCAAGGGAATCCAATTTTTGGTGTTAGCCTGCAGAAACAGAAAACAGAGGAGATAAAAGTCCCAAGTCATTTCAAGTTCCTGAACTACAACATAAAGCTCAAAATTCTGAAAAACCTGCTCTTGTGATATTTCAGTACTCTCAGGTTGACTGGAATAAGCAAGTAGAATTGGCCAGATAAATGAACTAGGGAGCAGTTTTCAATCCTGTTTGATTAAAAGGAGAACAGCTGAAGAATGCTCTTTCCACATCAGGAAGACAAAGGATACAGGTAAAACTAGCTTGGTAAGATTTAAGTGTTTCATGGGTTTTGCTCCTAAGCAGCACATTTTATGATGCACTCCAGCAAAAATACAACCAAGAATGACACATCAGCAGCAGAGTTCAGTATGAGAACAAAATATCAGAGCAGATTAACAGATTACTTTTAACTACCTTTACACTGGAAAGGAGATGAAGTCAGTGATGAGGAGAGTGGATTTATTACCTGTCATTCTGCTCATAAATGTTGAGTCCAAGAGCATCTACGCCTAGCCAGAGTTCAGAGCCCTTTTTGTTTTTAATGCTGAAGTAGTTCACACCATACATTTCCAAATCCTGTGCAATTTTTAGGTACTCCAAGACAGCATCTTCTCTGTATCATGCAAAAAGAAAGCAGATATTCTTTCTCTAGTCAATAAACCATTTGATCAAGAAGGTGCTGACTATCTACACAGATAGAGCAGCAATAGACTAGCCAAAGATTGCAAGAATCATCCTTGAAGATAAGAGTGAACAATTTCCAAAAGTTCAGCTTTGTTTTTACTAACTAATGTCAGCCAGTTACATGGACTAGCAAGGTCAGAGGCACATTGGCCTCGTTACTCTCAATAGAATAACCTGATGAATGCTAACTCATGCTGGAGCAAGCTACAGATTATTGTGTGACTTCATATATGCTAGTGTATAATATATCACTATCTTAAATACACCAGTTTCACATGCATCAGTTACCTAATCATTCCTCGATGTTCTTCATGCCACACCTGGATCCTCTCCTCCCACTGGTCCTTGTTAAGCTTGTGTTGCTCCAGAACTCTAGAAAGAATACATTGGATTTTTGAGACCAGCTACTGCATTTATGCACACGCCACCACATGAGTCCAGAACAACACTTCATTAAATACTCCATGGACATCATAGCTCCCAGAACAAAAAACATTTTCAGAAATATGGATTTCTAAGGCTAGGCAGAGACACATCAGTAGATTATTCGAGGCTTCTGACAAACAACAAGCTGTATTCAGCTATGTTTCTTATACCATTACATTATCAGGCTTTTTTGGAGCTTCTCCAACTACTTCCAATTACAGTTTCCTCAGCAGCAATAGGATCTTTAAGAGAGGCACAAGGCTGTATTTTATTATGAATTCCCTGGTTAAGACTCCAAAAAAAATCCAAACTTTTCAGCACAGAGATATTCTAAAAGTGAACAAATTCTCATACCTTTGTGGAAGCAGTTTGTCACTAGCAAGGTAACCAGACTTGTGCACTTCTTTATTGAAGTCTCCATACTTGGACTGGACAGCATAGGAAGCCAGCAGGACAGCTGTTTCTGGAGGACAGTAAATGTCATCATTCAGAATTGCCTCCTTCACTTGGAGGAAGAATAGGCGCTGTGTGATGTCCTGGATCAGCTCTTCTGCCACATCTTCTGGGTAGAACTTGGCTCGGAATTTGAAAAGAAGAGGGCTTTCCTTGCGTACATCCTGTGCTGTTACCTGGAGCAACAGAGTTATCAGATTTTATAGCTAACAGTCAAATGAAAGTGAGCAGGGTTAATGGTCAGGAAGAGAAGACAAGCATGCATTAGAAAAAAAACCCTTTGCAACACAAATATGGATGGGCAAGCTGCTCACACGAGCACCACATTAACAGTTACAGGGGCGGTTAACAGATCTTGCAGACTGGGGAAGATTGACTGTATGATGGGAATAGGGATGTGTGACCCGGGAAGAATACGAGGGTGCTGTCCAGACATGCATAGATGAAATCAGGAAAGTCAGGCCACAGACGGAATTGACCTTGGCAAAGGATGTGGAAAAATAATAAAAGAGTCTACAGGTACCCTGGTGAGAAGACAGTGGTCAAGGAGAGTGATAAATGAGAAGGAAGAAATTGCAACAGTTATGAGAAGGCTGAGGTACTCAACAAGTTCTTGGCCTCAATCTTCACAGAATCACAGGGGTTGGAAGGGACCTCAAGAAATCAGAGTCCAATCCCCCTCCCAGCACTGAAGCAAGTTCCCTACAACAGGTCACACAGGTAGGCACCCAGACAGGTCTTGAATATCTCCATAGAAAGAGGCTCCACAGCTTGTCTGGGAAACCTGCTCCAGTGCTCCATCGTCCCTATCGTAAAGTTCTCCTGCATGTTTGTATGAAACTCCCTGTGTCTTCACAGGCTTCCCACATCTCTCACGCCCTTGAAGCTCTAGGTGAGAGTTGGAGGAGTAAAATTCCTCCTGCTGTAGCATAACAGCAAGTTTGAGACTGTCTGATGAGACTAATGTGTACAGGTCTATGGGGCCCAACACCACACATCCCAGGATCCCGATGGAACTGTACATAAAGGCTGAAGGCTGATCATAAGGAAGGAATGCCATCCAAAGTGAGCTGGTCAAGCTTGAAAAGTAGGACCGTGTAAACCTAATGAGGTTCAACAAGGTCGGGTGCACAAAGTCACACTTGCACTGCGACAATCCCATTTATGTGTACAGACTGGGAGAAGAACTTATTGAGAACAGCCCCACGGAGAAGGACTTGGGGCTTCTGGTGGACAAAAAGCTTGACACAAGCCAAGAGTGGGTATTTGCAGCCCAAACGCCAGTGGTATCCTGAGCTGCACCAAAAAGGGCAGGGGCATCAGGGTTAGAGAGAGGATTCGCCCTCTCAGCTCTGTCCTCTTAAGGCCCCGTGTGGAATACTGTGTCCAGGCCCGGGGCCCCCAGCACAATAAAGACATGGAGCTGCTGGAGAAGGTTCAGAAGAGGGCGACAGAGATTATCAGAGGACTGAAGCATTTCTCTTAAGAGGAAAGGTTGAAGATAAGCTTGTTCACCTGAAGAAGAGAAAGCTTTGGAGAGACCTCACTGCAGCCTTCTAGTACTTAAAGGGAGCTTATAAAAAAATCATTCTCGCTCCTGTTTATGTGGTTCAATAGGACAAGGGGAAATGGTTTTAAAATAAAAGATGAGAGATTTATATTATACTAGGAGGTTTTGTTTTAGTTTTTTTTTTTGGTGGTGGTGGTTTGTTCTTTTTTTTTTTTTTTTTTTTTTACTCAGGTTATGGTGAGGCAGTCACTGCCTATAAGAGTTATGGTGCCCCATCCCTGGAGGTGACTGGGGCCAGACTGCATGGGGCCTGGCCAGCATGATCTCGTGAGTGGCAATCTTGTGTTGGAACTAGAGGATTTTTAAGGTCCCTTCTATGCATTTCTATGACTCTAACAATCGAAGGAAGGTGGTATCAAGTCACTAATCTTGCTTCATGTCTGTAGAGAAGCAAGATCCCTGATAGAAGCACAGTCTGCTCCTGTCCTCCAAGAGAAAGGAACCCCAGACAAATGAGTGGTTGAAGCAAACATACCTTTTTATTTAATTTGAGCCACGTTGAGAATCCCTTTGTATCTTGATACTGGAGTCCAAAGAACCAGACTTCTCTTAGACCAATTGTCTTGACAACCTGCAATAAAGATGATTAGCAAGAGCCATAGCCAGACAGGCTGATCTCACTGGTAGCAGAAAACATGTCAGAGGTAAATTCAGATGAGCACAGAGACAAGCAGTGCCCTAGCATTCTGCCATCCCTGACACTGTGCTCATACATAGATGACAGAGCATGAGGAATCCCATGTGGGAAACACATGCATCTCGCTCCCTCATATCCTTAAGATTCACTGTTACTTTAAATCAGATAATATATTTATTAGCCATTTACTAACCAACTTTTATAGCCAAAATACAATGCAATTGATTCATCAGGTGTAGCAGGTAAGAACCTCCACAGGAAATATCTACACTGGTATAGCAGCTCTCTCCTTAGTCATGTCTCTAGCTGGCCACAAGTATTACATTAATAAGAGTTAAGACAGCTTTATGAACATACCATAACAAAAAAAAAAAACACATCATGGTGAAGGGCAAGACTACTGCAATATAACACTGGTAGAAAGGAGAGAGAAGTTTCTCTATAAAGCAAGTTCACCAGCACAAAGCCACTACTTTGTGCTCTGGCAAGTCTGAGACACACCTACTATAGGGTTCATTCAGTCTAAAAACTGAAACTCCTTCACATTCTTCCTGGACACCCTGGAGTTGATCTTATGCTTGCAAACAGGGCAACTGTCTTAACCTCTACTACTAGACAAAGGAGGAGAAAGGACAAAACACTTATCTTTAGGTCTAACACTGTACCTGAAGAACTGCTTTTCAACACTACCCACTCCTGTGCTTGCTTGCAGCTTTCCTCCTGCAGAGGCTAAAGGATTTGACAAATAGTTGAGGTAGATTTAATCCTGCTTTGTCCCATGTTTTACATGATGTCTCTCTAATTCTCTAATTTCTTTTAAAGTTACTTCTTTGCTGATTCCTAAAGATGTGCTCTATTCTCTTTTATGTGGAGTCCAGTTTGTTGAGCCACAAAATTAAGGACACGGGTCCCTGCAAACATATTACTAATTCAGTTATTTAGGACTTCAATCAGACATTTCTGTTAGCTTTACAGAAGTAGCATCATTGCAAAATAAATAAATTAATTAAAATAAATAAAAATCAGAGAGCTTTCAGCAGCTGCATGCTATTAGAAACACACACAAAACCTACACAAGGCCACATAGACTATACACATGATTCTTCAAGCCCATGAAATTATTCAGCCTGTCTTTGCCCGGATATGGAGAACTGGCCTAAATAATCTAAATAACACATTAAACAATGAATGTAGGTCTGATAAGCCTTCACTTGCACATGTCACATAGTGGGATGCATCCAGCTAAGGAGGCTTTCAGAGAAGCATTAGATTTTGCTGTATATATAGAAAACTTTTGGTAGGAAGAGAGGAAGAAAGGCTGTCCTAGAGCCTAAGAAAAGCTTTGTTCTCTGCAATATTAACATTTGAATGGAATGGAGGCTCACCCCCACTGCTGTGTCTGCTTGCCTCACTTTCATTTGTCTGCAGCTTAAGCCTGGGAATTCAATAAGCTGAACTGCCAGCAAGGAACTGAATGGCATCACACTGAGGCCTCGCACAAAAGGACTTTTATTCCACAGCAGAAGTCTGCACAGCAATTGCATTGACAACAATGGTCTGGACGAGGAGAGGGGGAGACAGCATAGCACACACACAAGAACTTCACAGCCCCAGTCGGCTACTAAATCAAACTAGGATGCATTGCAATTCCTACTCTAGAAATTACATGAAATGTAAAGCAAGGTACATGGTGGCTTGTTAGTCTGAGCATGGATCTGTACCATTCAGCCTTCATCCTGAAAGTAAAGGTAGATGATGGTAGCCTCCATCAAGTGACAATCCTTTCCACCTCCGCTTCAACAGGATATTTGGTTCAACCTTGATAGCAAAACTATCATGAACTAAAGTTTTCTACAGGAAAACTCCACTTTTTTCAGGCCTGCATGGCTTTCTCAGCTCCCCCCTCTACAAGTACCAGTCTCCTTCCCAGCTATTGTTCTTGTCATTCAGAGCCGTCCCACAGTAGAAGGGGGGCCGCAAGTAGACCTCATAAACGTAGATTTTAGCGTGAGAATGACTGTTGAAGATCGCTGTAGTTCTCAGCCTAGGAAAATAGGAGAAGAGGAGGCTGAGGGGAGACCTTACAGCTCTCTACCTAAAAGTAGAAAGTACCTGAAAGGAGGCAGTGTCAAGGTGGGGGTCGGCCTCTTGTCTCACATAATTTGCAACAGGACTAGAGAGAATGTCCTCAAGTTGCACCAGGATATTAGGAAAAATTTCTTCTCTAAAAGAGTGGTCAGGCACAGGATCAGGCTGTCCAGGGAGGTGGTTGAGTTACCACCTCTGGAGGTGATCAAGAAACATTTAAATGTTGTTCTAAGAGACATGGTTTAGTAGTGAAATATCAGTGGAAGGTAGACATTTGGACTAGATGATTTTGAAGGAAATACATTACACATGCAAACAAGTGGTTGGGAAGGAATGCCATTCAGAGGGACCTCGAGAGGCTAGAAAGGTGGGCTTGGGTGAACCTGATGAGGTTCAGCACAGCAAAGTGCAGAGTTTTGCACTTGGGCCAGAGGAATCCCAGGCATCCATACAGACTGGAAGGAGCAGGCCTTGAGAGCAGCCCTGTGGAGAAGGACCTGGGGGGTCTTGATAGATGAAAAACTTAAGATGAGCCAGCAGTGTGCCCTCGCAGCTCGGAAGGCAAATGGTATCCTGGGCTCCATCAGCAGAGGGGTGGCCAGCAGGGACAGGGAGGTGACTGTTTCCCTCTACTCTGCTCTTGTGAGGCCCCATCTGGAATACTGCGTCCAAGTGTGGAGCCCCCAGTACAAAAAAGACAGGGAGCTGCTGGAGAGGGTCCAGAGGAGAGCCACAGAGATGATCAGGGGACTGGAGCACCTCCCCTATGAAGACAGGCTGAGGGAGCTGGGCTTGTTCAGCATGGAGAAAAGAAGGCTGCAGGGTGACCTCATTGCAGCATTTCCATACCCAAAGGGAGCCTACAGAGGGGAGGGGAATCAACTCTTTGAAAGGGTAGATAACTGCAGGACAAGGGGAAATGGTTTTAAGTTGAGGGAGGGGAGATTTAGGTTGGACATCAGGGGGAAGTTCTTTACAGAGAGAGTACTGAGGTGCTGGAACAGGCTGCCCAGAAAGGCTGTGGATGCCCCAACCATCCCTGAAAGTATTCACGGCCAGGTTGATGGGGCCCTGGGCAGCCTGGTCTAGTATTAACTGGTCTAGTATTAAATGGGAAGGTTGGTGGATCTGCATGTGGCAGGGGGGTTGGAGCTTCATCATCCTTGAGGTCCCTTCCAACCCTGGCCATTCTGCAGTTCTGTGAAGTGCAGATCCAGCATGAAAGCAATATCTACACAAAGACAAAATCAAAGTATTCAAGCAAAAAAGACATTTCAAGTTCCTGCTTCAAAGGACAAAGCATCACAAAGCATCCACAACACTGCATGTCTTGAACATAGCCTGTTGTCCTTTCCAAAGATGAAACGGCCATGAGACGCATGTCAAGTATTTTTGAGAGAAATCTGCTTGCTGGACTAGCTCTGACCTGGCTAATCTGCCACATCTGCAGTTTAATATGCCATAGTTTTTCTATTCAATTAAGTAAAAAAGGCATTTTGCAGATAAATGTCATTTAGTTATCCTGCTTTCACTGCCACTGAAAACCTCTGTGCCACTGCACAAGTGTCCTTCTTTGATTAGGCCATGGATTAGACAATTCAAAAGATATCTATCAGGCCCAGGCATTGTTTGGTTTTATTTCCTGCAATGATCATTACTGGGGAAGCCTTCTCTCAATTACTTTTCAAAATTGAATACAGCATTGGCTCAGCTAGTATTCAGGCTCATTATGTCCAAAATGAAGCATGAGTAGAGAAGAGTAGAAATAAGAGTTCACAAAAGGAAAAAGAAAAAAAAAAGAGAACAAATACCCCTTCTTAGTTCAATTGCAGAACCAGGTTTCTCAGAGTTCAGCACTGTTACATATTCATCTCAGAGGCACTCCCTCCACCTCTTAAAGAGAGATAATACTTCTAAAGTATAAGCTGGCCTTACCAGAACTTTAGATAACATAATCCAAGCAACTCTCTGAAATCTAGGCTAGGCCAAGAGAATGATGCTGTGTGCACTACTGACTCTCTCTTAATAATATGCAAAAAAAACCCCAGCAAATCTGAGAAGGGAAGAGAGCAATGGCATTTTGACCATGATTAACTACAATGCTTCAAGTCACTTACCCTCTAAAGAAGTAAATGGAGCCATTGACATTACGGTTTGCTTCAGGTACTGAACTCATACCTAGGAAAGTGTCTCAGGAAGGCCAACAACTTGCTGTCACAATCTGAAGTAATAGGAAGTTTTTCAAGTGTCACATTCCTCCTTGAGCTGTACTTGAATTCACAGCTCTTAACTGGACAGTTTTGCCTTCAACAAGATGGTGTTTCTACTTACTCTAAAGGCTTATTCTGGCATGACATGCTGAGGTCACTATCTCTTGGATTCTATGATGTTTAAAAGCTAGTAATGAACAGTTTAAAGTTTGTGGTCAACTATAGGCTCAGAGAACACAAAGCAAGTCATTGAGAAGAAAAGCTGTAGTCAGAGAAGTAGAGTTCATTGTAGGATGGAAAAAGAAGCACTGACTAAACAGTTTAGAAACCACTACTCAATTGTTTAAAAAAAAAGAAAACTGATGTGAGGCCTATCAAGTGGGTAGAGATGCCACCCATCTATTGTACTAACCACTCAATAGGTCTAGTACTGCATAAAGCAAAGATGCCTCTACAAGAAGCTAGAAGAAATAAGAGGCTTTCAAGGGGGGAAAAGAACAAGACCTAAAGAATCCAAGGTCAAAAGTATCAGAAAAAAAGCATTTGAGAAGCTGCCGTGTGCAGCTGATTGGGTACATGGAAGAAGGGAGTATGCTTTCATATTACAGATGTGCTCAGAATAGTTGAATTTAATGACTACAGCCAGAGACCATATTCATCCTTCACAGAGCCACTGGCTTTTCTAGTGAGTTGGTAAGCACTGCAGTTCAGCAACTGACACTAAGAGGCACATAAGCAGAGTTGCTAAAGGCAAGCTTGTATAGTCCTCCTGCCTCAGCTAACAGAGTTTTGTCAGCATAAGCTATTTAATGCTACAACTATACAAACATTGGGAACAGGATGATATAGGTAGATCTCTAGTGCAAATCATGATGTTACTATCCTATATATCAATTTATAAGGATTTTTCTGCTCCAAGGTATCTGATTAGAGAAACTAATAGTACATAAGTTTACTTTGGAATTCAGCCAAGCATGAAAGAGTGAGACAGGAGCATCCCTACTTCAAGTCCATTCACCTATTATTAGTGCAGAATGTTCTCTCTAGATTCAAACTGCTCTTCCTCATGAAGATATCATCTAACTTTCAAAAAGTCCTTTTAATCCTAATTCAGAGTAGGTCATCACTACATTGGGATAGATATATTTATTCTACCTTTAGACACAGCAGGTGGAACAAAATGCTACCTAAATGCTGCTGAACAAAGCCAGCAGTGTGCACTGAGACAGCTGTGTAGCTAAAAACCTTGATAAAACTTCTCAGTTCTGAATTAGGCAAGAAGCAAACAACTCACTCAAAACGAAAGGGCACTCTGGGGCAAAAACATTCAGGATATCTAAAAATTTTTCTGTGAAAGAGTTGAAGCCAGATTTCACACCAGGGGGTCAATGTACTGCAGCAGCAAAAACATAAGGTTGCTTTGTAGAGAAACTCTCTCTACCCTCAAAAAAGCCCTGATGATGGCAGACACTTTTTCACATTCAGCATCATGCACAAAACCTAGATTAGCAATTTCATGAGCACATCATAGCCTAAAGGAGCTAGGAAATTAACACTCACTTTGTTCTTGTAGATCCTAGCATGAGACCAAAGACCACCTCAGGATAGAAATTGAGATAGAGTGAACAGATATTAGTCAGACAGCAATCATTGCTTAGATCCCATTAGTAGCATCAGCAGGGAAAACAGTCCTGGACTAGCCCTTTAGAGGAACTAATCTACATAAATAGCTCAGCCATTTTGAACTTACCAGATACATGCCAGATGAAAGTATAAAAAAAATTATGAAGAGGACAAGCCAGAATTGGATAAGCTATAAGACTGCACTTCTCCTGAATTCTCTTAAGAGCGAACAAGTATTTGTTTTAAAGAGCAATGAAGGGAGACAATGGGGGTAAAGCAGAGCTCTGAATTAAAGATTAACTAAGTGAAGACGAGAACAATGTTTAACAAAGGAAAGGAAGGCATATGCAACAGTAAGAAGCCTACAGTTACAGCATACAAGCACTTGCTCCCTTATCTCAGCATTTTCAGCCTTGATGTGCAAGTCTGGCTGTGGACAAATTCTCTCTTCTGCACATGCAGCTGTTCACAAAGGAGTGAAATCAATTACTAAGAGATGAAAAGTTCCCATGCAAGAAAAATGATCACAAGCCTCACAAACACGGACAAGCTGTTGAAGTCCAAGTTTTACACCACAATTTCATTTTGTACTAAATGTCCAGTGAGGCAAAAGCTACAGATGGTCTAGAGCAGACTGAAAAATTTATGCACAGACTTAAAGCACTACTAACTTCAGCAGTAACACTTCTTAGTACCTGGCACTTTATTTAGACAATGCCAAAAACTAGATGTTGAAAAATAATTACAGGAAGCATCCAACTGAAGAACTCAAAAAAAATCAGTTCATCTCTTGATGAATTTAGGTTTCATGAACTAACTGGTGGAGTTCCACATCACACACATGCATTCTCGATGGAATCCAGAACTCAACTCCATCTATCAAAAGAACTGTGAGAGTCTCGAGATCATACAGGGCTCAATATACTGGAGCTACTACACAGTATCATGCAAACAGCTGAGCAACTATACTGCAGCACAGAACTTTTTTGAAAGCCTTTTTTCCCTATCCCATCATAAAAGGGCACTCTTTGCTAAGCCATATAATCTCACTCTACTCCGTTCCAGGGCTGGGCTATAGAATACAATATACTATTCAGCTTTGAATCATTCAAGAGAGTATGAGGGAAAGTAGCAGTTTGTGGTTAAACATTTAAAAAAAAAAAAACAGACTCCCTGGCCCCACATGAAATGCTGACCCCTATGGGTGGGTCTACTCTTCAGTTTCTCTGTTTATTAAGACAGGCTCACGGTAGAGCTGGCCCCAGAATGCCTAGTACTATCAAGCCATGGCCATACCTGACAAATCTGGTCTGACAGTTCCTTCATCTGGTCATGAATGTGAGATTCATTTTACTTTCCTTCAAGCCATAAACTTATTGCTCAGATTCTTCTCTGATTAGGAAACCCTTGATTTTTTCCTCAGTGTCCTCACAAAGCCTTGACTGTCTACAGGAAGAGACTACATCACTTGCTAGCAGCACAGATGCTTTGAGTGGCTAGACAGTTGCCTAGATATGCCCTTCAGGATTACAGCAGGAACACAGAGTGAAGCCTATCAAAGTTTCAGCTACAGTTAATAGTCTGTCTTCAGCTGTTCCAAATTTGGGACGCATGTCTCCCTTCTTCTGTTTGTACCAAAGTAGAAAGAAGGTTGCCCAGCCAGTGAATGCAGAAGGCGGCTAAAGCACCTAGATGAAGGCTCAATATAACACAGCACATTACTTCTCTTAGTATCGCCCTCAAGCTGTGTTGAGAGCATAGAATATCACTTTGCATGTGCAGTGTTGCAACAATGTTTGAAACCTCAGCTAAGACCCTCCTGTTCAAGATCAGTTTTTCCTTGAAATCAATCACACGATGTTTGCAAGTAAGCCAAGCAACAGTAGCTTACCAGCTGCCCTGTAAAACTGATCTCATGAGTTGTGGCTGCAGATATCTACTGCTATCCAACTCAAATTATGAACTACAGTACCAATACAGTTTAGTGAAAGTAAGAATAGCTCCTAACATATTCTAAAAAAAAAAATAAAAATAAAAATAGAAGTAGTTTTGAAAAAGCGTGTCATTTCATATTTTTCTGAGTTCTCTTAAAGTTGCTATACACACTGTCATTTAGTACTTGAAGCCGTTTAGAAGCTGTTATCAGAATCACAACATCAGCATCAACTTCAGATCTTCTGCAGCTCCATTGCTTACCTGATCAAAGAGTTGTTTCCCTGTAGTGTTGGGCTGGATGGCAAATTCCAGCTCAGCATCCATGGTGGTAACACGCACACTGATCTGGAAAACAGAAGAGACATCATTATAATACATGCACTGACACCACACAATAATGAAAAACATCATCTGCCTCCATCCAGAGACCCATTCCCAGGCTTCCAAGAACTCTTTGCCGGCAATTAGGAAGTCACCTGCCTAGACAGCCCAGTGTTCCCAGCACCCACCACTTCAGCTTGCTCACAGAGCATAGCTTTCAAACGTCCTAGCGTTCATTCTGCCTGATCCAACTTGCATTCAAATCTACATACTGATAACATATGAGAGGGCCATTTACAGCTTATGAGACTGTATTTCTCAGTGTAGAAAATCCTGGAATTGTTCAACAAAGCAAAGATGCCTCAGACCTTGGAACATCCGAAGGATAAATATCAAGAAAGTCCCTGCAAGCAAAAACAACCTCAACCTGCTGCAGAAGAGTAGTAGGCACAGAACAATATTGTTTCAGTCTCCATGGATATCTGGGGAGATTATAAGGCACAATCCCTGATATTGTTCAAGGACTGTGAGTACAAAGCAAACAAGTTAGAATAACATGCGAAGGCAAGAAGAAGGCACGCTGAACTAAGACACTATTACGAGCAGGCACTTCACAAACCAGTAGAATGTTCCCTACATAGTTGCATTCTACCACCTGGTTCTTTCAGGGAGGTTAAAGATCTAGAAACAATGAATAAATGTTTTAGGTGCATCTTACTATGCAGTCAAATTTCTTAAAAACACCTTAAGCAAAAAAGAAATGAGATAATGAATTGTCTTTCAGAAGAAATATATGATGCACTCTAGTGACAAGTGTCTCACCATATTAAATGAAACTGGCAAGGAAACCGCAGCAAGTCTATAATTTCATTTTACAGAAGCAAGAATATACTCGTTTATCTTTCACCAACCAGTTCTCAGGGAACAAGTTAAGAGATATGCAGCAGAAGATTCTTATCTCAAATATTTGAATAAAACATAGTTGATTCCATTTACAACTTCACATTATCAGACTATTTTGTAGATTCTTAGATATAGGAATACTCCCTCCTGGACACACAGATGACTTAACTAACTTCTAACCAGGCCAAATAAAGTCTTCAAGTATACTGAGATTTCTGAAAGCTTATTTCTACTTGCATGTTTATACTCCAAAAAAGAAAAACATACAGAAGCTGCAAAGATTTTAAGAACAAAAACTGTTTTAACACTTCTCCATTAGAGCAAAGGTTGAAAGTGTGAAGGTACATAGACAAGATTCACAGTGCACAAAACCCCAGTGTACAGGCACTACTCTTGCAGTTCTCTTCCCTGCCAACAGCAATTTACTGTATATATCACTAAATCCTCATTTATTTGCTCTCCAGTGTAATCCACCTTCTTAGCCTACCCTACCTACTTCTCAGGGGTTGGAAAGGTATGCTGTGAGCAGCTTTAGCAAGAGCAGCTCAAACTGCCATTTATACTGTAGGTTAACAATGTGACACTAGAGACTAAAAAGATAGAGTGAGCACAGAAATGTTTCATATGCTCGCTAGGACTGAGAGCCCCAAACCAGTTTTGCTACTTGTACTTAGAAGCAGTTTCTTGTACCAGAGGAATGTCAGCTTCTGCATCTGCCTTCCTTAGGATATATACCAGCAAGATGAAAGATATCTATAAACTATGTCTAAAAGGCAGTGGGTAAAACAAGTCATTAAGCAACAGATTGTTGTTTGTTTGCTTTAAAGCCCCTCCTGTTCACCTAATCCACTTATATACCCGCTATCATGAAAGCAATATATAGGATTTCAGCTCTCCTTTTAATGGATAAAAATGCAGTAGCTACCCTTGGCTGACAACACCTGCATAAGTGATTAAATGCAGAAGTATCTGAGCACAGTGGAAGTACCAGAAATCAGAAACATTTATGTCAGTTCCTTGCAACCTGTGCCTGAATTACTTTTAAGCTCTGCTCTATAAGTTTTAAAATAAAGCTACTTCAGTAAGTATCCTCCTCACAGAATTGCCCAGTGAGGTTGCTAATGCCCCCTCCCTGGAAGCACTCCAGCATCCCAGCTGGATGGAACTGTGAGCAATATGGTCTAGCAGGAGGTGTCCCTGCCTATAGCAGGGGGTTGGAGCTAGATGATTAAAGGTCCCTTCCAACCCAAACCATTCTATGATTCTGTGAATTTCATAAACCATTGTTATTTGTAAGACTCACATCTCTGTTAGCACAGTAAAATAAGGTCCCATGGTACAATCAGCAAAATTCCTTCACTGACATTCAGTTAAACATACTTGATGAGTTGTCACCCTTCAATTAGTACATTAAGTAATAAGAAATGGCCTTTTTTCCTAATAGTAGCTCTCCATGCTCAAGAGTAGCAATCAAGGTTTAGGAGAAGTCTTAAACAGGGTATATGCATTTGCAATTTCAGTATACACTTTTTTAGAATATAGCATGAGCAAAGATACCACAGGAAACAGATACGTGTTTTACAGAACCGCACCCCGGTAATTCTAGCTTCCCTGATCTGCTCAAAGTTTTAACAAATAGCATACTGCTCTTAAGGACTGAATGGGGGAAAGCATGTCCTGGGTTGTAACACCACCTCAAAAAAATCCAAAGTTGCTCTTATACTTTCTTCCCCCCCCCCTCCCCCCAACCCGCATGTGCTTCCAAGCTGTATTTTTAAGCCAGCTGTTGTGAACTGGAAAAACAAAGTGAAGTTTCCACCGTTACAGGCAGTGGGAGGTACTGTTCTCCATTCCCAGTTAACAGATAAGAAGCCTGACAGTACTTCAGAGCAGACACAGCTTCACCGGGGTGTTTTGCTTCTGCTCAGTACTGCTATAGAAACAGATCTGTTCTTAAAGCATGGAGAGAAAAGGAAAAAAAAAAAAAAGGAAAAAAGCACCAAGGAGGGAGCTTTGTTCTAAAAGATGCCCCAGGACAATCCAACTCCTGGTCACTTCACCTTACTGGGTTCTGACTGCAGCTCAGACAGAAACCACCAGAAACTGCCTACCTTATCTAAACACTACCTACCTGGCAAGTAAATGCCAGGCACTGCACGATCACCTTCATTCTCCTCATTCATTCAAAATATTCAAAATCTTTAGTTAAACCTCTCTGCTAAGGCATGCACAGCTGAGTACTGTTTAACACAGAAGTAAGACAAGAGGTACACAAAATGCTTTATCAGAGGAATGAATAATCTGTCCCAGCATAATTTAGACTTTCATGCTTGCTTTGTCCCTTGAATTACTCCACCAGAGTACTTTTAAATCATTAATGTAATTTAGCATCAATGCTTATTCTAAGCAAGAAAAGACTCAGGATTCATTAGTATTAAGATTTGTATTTCTAAACCATCTAATGAGGTTTTCTGAGATTAAATAACCTAGCACCTACAAAGCAGTACACATTGGTCTGTCTTCCTGTCAACAAATAATTGTAACATATATACAACAGATTTGTTCCCAATAAGAATAAAAGCCTGCCTTCCAAATAACTGTGTAGGAATGGTGTAGTGCTATGCCTGAATTAAGGCACTGCACAGTCCTTTTCCTCTACAGGCATTCAATCTTAGCCCCATAACAAGACAAGTTTTGCCTGAAAAACTTGATTGCTTTTCCCAGGCAGAACATATCAAAACTACTAAACTAGAATACTCTAGAAGACGACCAATCAGACATGGAGACCGTAATAAGAGTCCAATTCCTCACCAACACCTTCATTTGAAGATAGTCTGCAAACAGAATAAAACATTCCTTCTGAGTGTAACTGACTTGGACTGCTGAGCATACACAGTTCTAGCTCTGTCATACTGGGCAAGCAAGGTACATCCTTCTGCAACACTAGCAACAGGAGAAAATACAGTGAGAAAAAGACATTACCTGCCACTGATTACAAAGTCCAGTGACAGCAATCACCCACATTCCTTTATACAAAAAGGATTTTGTAAATTTCATAAACCGTTATTAATTGTAGGAGTCATGCCTCTGTTAGCACAGTAAAAAAAAAGGTCCCGTGGTACAATCAGCAGAATTCCTTCATTGTCATTGCTCTGCATGTGTTTTTAGAGAACTTGTTTTCAACAGCAGCAGATTTACCAAAAATGCTATCCTAAAACAGTAAGTTACATTGAAATTATATTTAAAGCAACTAATTGCATTTCCATTGTTTATAATGCGTTACATTTATAATTACTGTACCTGAGTGTCTCCAATCCTCAAAATTCTGCGTAGATCTTAAACTAGTAGAATTTTTACCCAGGTAGATGGCCTTTAAGTTAGCTTCTTTTGACTTTCCATTACCATTCAATAGAGTATTTTGCATACTAACAGCTAACAATACTGTATAAAAAGCTTCTAGAAAAGGCCATCTTGCACATTACAAGAAAATTCATCACATTTCAAAAGAAGCACAGAGCACACACATTTCAAAAGGCAACTAACCTAAAAAGTACTCACGAAAAAAAAGCCAAAATTTAACTGATTCATTTCATAATGGCTACAGGAAAGAGCTAGAAACCTAGCAACTCTTCCTCTTCTCTATTTGAAGACTTGCATCGTTTTACCGGTCAAAGCACAACTATAGATTGCCACTACAATCTATCTGCATCTATTTCCAATGTCTTTTCAGAAAGATTGCCCATATACCTTCAAATCTCACTTTTTGCTCCACTCAGATTCCCAGTAAGTTCCACTAGCAGGAAAGATCAGTGCTCTTCTGCAAGTCCGTAAGTGAGCCCAGCTATAATAACCTGCTGCAACTACATGCTAAGATGACAGTTTGTTTCTGTATATGAAAGATTCCTGGTTACCAAATTGGAGAAAAATGGATTTGATGACTGGACCACTCACTGAAGAAGGAATTGGCTGAGTGGTCACACTCAGAGAGTTATGGTCAACAGCTCAAAATCCAAGTGGACATCAGTGAAGGGTGGTATTCCTCAGGAATGGGTGCCGGGACCAGAGCTATTTAACATCTGTGTAGGCAACACGGACAGTGGGATTGAGTGCATCCTCAGCAA